TAGCAAAACCAATGTTACTCTCGTATGGAGCAAAAACAACGCAACCTCTGCGTCCATTTTCAGGCCTTCCCGCTCATGTCTCTCCAGTGCTGCAAGCTTTTCCAATATTAACGCCTAAAGCTCTTGCCTGATCATAACCCTTCTTTTTCCAGTGATATTCATCTAACCTTTTCTCTTTTGTAATGTCTCTCAGCCATTTCTCTTTCTACAGTCTTTCATCAAATCTCACTCTTGCTCAATCTCTCTCCTCCCCCATCATGAGTGGACACGCCCCTACTGCTGATTGGCCAACTCTCTCTCCTCCCCCATCATGAGTGGACACACCCCTACTGCTGATTGGCCAACTCTCTCTCCTCCCACATCATGAGTGGACACGTCCCCTACTGCTAATTGGCCCACTCTCATGATATACTCGCTTATTATATACATTTAGTTAATTTTGAACAAAAAATTTTACGGACTGCAGCTTTAATTTCAACATTTATTAATACATTTTTAAATAAAAAGTTATTATTCATTAATGCACTGTGAACTAACATAAAAAATTAATCGATAAATAAATACTGTAAAAATATGTATTTCTCATTAATATTTCATGTTAATGAATGGGACCTAAAGTTACCATCAATCCTCTGACACTTTTTTCTATGGTAAAATGTAATATCCTTAAAGCAAGTTTACACAACTCTAAATCAAAGCTGATTATTGCAGACAAACCTCTACTGTGCTTCGGCTGGACAGTAAAAAGCAGCTCTAATCTAAAGCCAGTGATAATCTGACAGTGATGTCACTGGAAAGCGTTCATGACCAATGATGTCTTATGTAACTCAGATTGTGTTTGGTGAAATGAAAGGTGTCGGAGAGTAATAGAGGACAAGAGAAAGTAACAGGACACATGACAATTATGATGATAAAGTAACCAATAACAGGATAAAAAAGGGAGAGAAAAAGAATAAAATCTTGGTAAAAATTAAATTTCGGTCATCATTTACTGTCATATATCGTTCCAAACCAGTATGACTTACTTTCTTATGTGGAAAACAAAAGAAAATATTAGGCAGGATTTTTATGTTCTTTTCCATACAACAATAGCTTACCAGAAAAAAAGGAGATAATAACAGTTGTCCATTCGACTTTAACTATATTTGCAAGTCATATGATGGCTTATTTTGTGATTAATGCATTCTAAATGTCTTATAAATGTGTATAATTGTAATACATTATCACCTGGTTTCACTGACATCTATCTATAATCACATGACCATTTTATAAATTATTATTTTTATTTGCTCGTTGTATTTGCATTATCATCATCAATTATAATAGTAATAGGGCTAGCAAAAATATTGCTAGCAACAGAAATATGCTAAAAACATATGAACTATTGAGGGAGAAAAAAACCTTGTTAAATGCTATAGCTTGTGTACAAAGGATCCAAAATTGGACTATTTTATAAACAATTTTCTCTCTCTCTGTCCCTCTCAAATCAAATTGATTCTCTAGAGGAGGAATAGCAAATGTAATTTAAAAAGTATCAGTGATTAAAAAGGCCATGACTGAGGAGCAGGCACATACTCATCAAATCAAATGAACATCTGTTGTGCTGCAGTAGAGCTCTTGATGGAGGAGCGCACAGATGACTATGATGGCATTTCATTACAGGTTTCTGCATCTGTCGAGAAGAAGCGTGCATCTGACCTAAGCATGATTCAGTATGTTTACTGATCTAGGACAACACCCATATCACCCTCTATGACCCATCCATGTGAGGAACTCGTTAAATTGATCCAAAGCTTAGATTAACCTGCAGTGTGTGCAGCTCTGGGACCAGTGTCCTGATCCAGTCAACTGATCCTAGATCTGCTGCAAAGGTGGATGGTCTTTTGGTAAGAATGCCATTTTTTTAGGTCCTGAAAGTATCCCGCATGCAAGAAGATATCTTAAATGTATTGCAAGAAGACATCTTAAACCATTTGGCCTAATGCTTAGAGAGTCCGACTTGTAATCTGAACTTGTAAATGAATTAACTATTTTCCATACTATAAAACTGGAGGACTGGGGCTGCCAAGCTTTAAAAAAAGTGACATTAAAGCACCATAAACATAATCCATACAACTCAAGCACTATATTCCACATATTCTGAGTCTTTATTTTTATCTTAATGTGAGAAATAAAAATATCTTTTGCGTTGTTCATAAACGAGCATAAATAATATATTGATAAAATATAACATAGTAAATAAATAAAATAAATGATAAAATAATACACAGAACATTAATTAGACAAAATGAATAAATAGGGCTAGTTAAATATTCACTGTAGAAAAAGGGAATTTTGTGATTAACACGTATACTGACTTCATAAACAATATATAATACAATATATTGTGTACTCAGTACTCACATCAGTAATCTAGAATAGATAAAACCTAAACCAAACCTTGTCATTGATCCTTGTGCATCCTGTTGTCTTTGTAAAACCGATGAAGGAGGCCCTCTAGTGGTGATGATGGACCTTTAAAAAAACGCAATGAGAGAAAATAACCTTTTATGTGACAGGAATGTGGTTACTTCTCCATTCCTGCAAATATTTCATAAGGACTTATTAACAGACAAAAGATATGTGGAGAACAGCATACTACCATCCTACTCTAACTATTTCTGCAGTATAGTATAGTATAAGTATGTCAAGGTCATGTGAAAATGTAGAATACTTCTGTTTTAAACATGATAAATGTAAGCAAGTACATACTGTTTCACATACTTTTTAAAATACCTGTCGAATAACACGTCCGTGCCAAAGCAGCCATGACGTCAATGCTCAAAATCGGTTTCTGATGTACATGAAGAAATCAAGGCCGTTTTTTTCACAGCACTGAAACCCAACCGAGAGGAAAAACATAAAAGTGCTAGATATTTTATTAGCATATTGAGTGAATTACTGTCCCCATAGAAAAGAAACCACTGCCGTGTGTGTGAACATGTTTAAAGAAAAGAAATACAGGGAACAAAAGCAAACAGCAAAAATCACACCACTGTTCCCAACACACTACCACAAATTTCCTCTCCGACAAGAATTAATGGCACTAATTATTCTCAGAGCCTCAAAAATGAAAACCAATTTATCAAACACATAAATGTTCCAAGTAATAATTCTCCGTGGGAATCTCATACAGCAAAGGAACAAACAGACTTGTTAAATTTCACTCAACTTCCTTTGTGCCTCCCTAAAACGAATTCATGAACGAGTATGATATACTGTGTAAACACTTCCAAATAATGATACGCAAATATACATAAGTAGAAATATATAAATGGAAACCGGGCCAGGCAGATGATCCCCTGAGAGTCAAAACCATGATCATGCAGAAAATATCAAATCAATGAATAATAATAATAATAATAAGTGAAGAGAAATACAATCACTTACAAGAAAAAGCAACAAAAAAAATACACTGCACAAAAGCCCATTGTGATATTGAATCTCTTAATGTTGCAAAGCCATAATATATTCATAATAATACAATGCAAGTGCTGTTTAAGACATGATATTGGCACCAGGTTCTGCCAAATACGACACCATAAATGTGTGAATACCTTTTATATAATATCTCTTGATATTTAGAACATACATGACTTTGATAGACTTTTACAAAAGTGCGAGATGCAATATAATTGCACGTGTGCGCATACATCCGACCCAGCTAATTCTATAGTCCGTGTATTTGAGTTTGTGTCGTGACCGCCGTTGGTCTCGGGAAAGGCCATGTCCGGGCTGTGAAGTGTGGGATGGATGTGCAGTTTCACAACATTTGGCACAGTCTTCAGAGTTTATATATCTGTTAGAAAGCACATTTATTTTGGAGCAAGACCATAGTGACTGTGTGCAGATGTGTTTAACTCTTTGGTTTTCAAGAGCAGAGCAGAGTGGTGCAATGTCAGCGTTTGTGCCAGTAAGTCAATGGGTTTCTTTAAAATATGCGATATCAGTGAATCAATAGAGACAGTTCACACAAAAGTAAATATTCTGGCATCATTTATTCACCCTCATGTCGGTGCAATCCTGTATGATTTCTTTCTTTCGTCGAGCACACGAGATGTGGGTGCAGGATGTTCACACGGCTGTAAAGGCCTAAAAAAGGACAAAAAGCACCATAATGTTGTCTAAATGAGTAGCTTTGTGTGGAAACATACTGAAATGAAAGTCGTTGTTTACTGAAAATCTTCCTCTCCACTGTAACGCTCAAATCTCATATGTGCAATCTGAAGATACGCATGTTTAAATTTTGAGCACTGAAAAACTGGTGAAGAAGCGTTATTGTTTGGCAACAATGACATTGAACATACAAAATCTGAAAATTAACGACCGTCTTTCTCTTAAAAACGTAATAAAACTGGATTTAAAGGGATAGTTGGCCTAAACATTGAAATTCTGTCATCATTTACTCCCTCACGTCGTTCCAAACACGTAAGACTTTCGTTCATCCTTGAACCACAAACGAAGCTCGTCGAAATCTGAGAACTTTCCCTCCATTGACAGCTGCACGACTACCACTTTGACGCAACAAAAAGATCATAAAGTAATCGTAAAACTAATCCATATGAATTTTGTCTCTTTTGAGAAATTTGGACTCAACCGTTAGTTTTATGGTCTCTTTATGAGCTTTTTGTAGCGTCAAAGTGGAAGTTGCATAGCTGACAATGGAGGGACGGAAAGCTCTCAGATTTCATCAAAAAGATCTTCATTCGTGTTCAGAAGATGAACAAAAGTCTTACGGGTTTGGAACTAATTAATGGTGAGTAATTAATGACAGAATTTTCATTTTTGGGTAAACCCTTTAAGTACCATTTAATTTCATTGTATGCAAAATTTTTCCTTTTGTTTTCCCCAGAAGGCAGAAAGTCATAGAGGGTTTAGAACAGCATGAGGATGAGTAAATGATGAACTTAATGGTGAACTACTCTCTTAGGGTGTTGTGGCATGTGTTTTGACCCGGTAAATGTGGGTATTTGTGTTGTGTTTTAGTCCCAGAGCACCTGGGCTGCCTACAGTACTACAGTTCGTCATTGACTTCCTTCAACCTCTTCTCCTCCAGGAAGGCCACCAGTGAATCCCTCATGTCCACCACGTCCAGCATCTCCTGCAGGATCCGCTCCTCCTGTGCTCGCTGCTCAGGGGTCTTCTCAGTTTCTACACGCACAACAACATAGCAACATCTTAATGCATGTGTGCATACGTTTACATAAATAAAAACAAATCAAGGCCTGTTCACACCAAGAACGAGAACTATAACTATATTAGTGACCGCACCAGCGGACAATATCGCTCTGATAAATCTAAGGCCACGCTACAGTTTTGTCGTCTGCCGCTTTAAATGCTCTTAAAGCCGGATGGATTCTGATTGGCTGTCAATGTTTTTATCGTTCATCAGCTGAAAAAAAAAAATTCTGATTCCAAGGATATTGTTCCTCTGTGCCGTTATCGTTAAAGTTGAGGTGTGGAGTCTATTCTTTTATTTTTAGAAAGATTTTTAGAACTATATCTTTATCGTTATAGTTATCGTCCTTGGTGTGAATAGACCTTTAGAATTAAGAATTTAAAACCAAATTAATACTAAATTAGAAAGGTTAGTATTTCAATAATAACAATAATATTAATTCTAATGATTTAAATATTTAGAAATATTATAATTTAAATATTTAATATTGTATAATTTTATTTTAAAAAACGATTTAAAAACTATTTGTAATACATTAAGCTTTTATGACTTAAAAATAATTGACAGATGGACTATTTGTAATTCATTCCACAGGACTATTAAAGTGACCATTATATAAAGAGAATATAATGACAAGTAACATTGTATCTCAATATGAACAATAATTTAATTCTAATTTATTATTAAATTATTTAAATTATAATTTTTTAATATTAAATAATTAAATACAATAAAACAATTTTATTTTTGTCTTGCATTTTCTCTGCATTGGAGCATGTGCACTAACAGCAAGATTATAGTAATATTTTTGTATTATTACACATGAAGCTTTTATGACTTCATATTAACTAACAGATGGACTTTTTATAATTAAATCCAAATTCATTTGTCAGAAGAACACAGGACTATTTAAATGAATATTACATAAAGAGAATATAATGAACAGAATTATCTTTAATTTCCCACCATCCATTTCCATGTATCGCCGTAGCTCCATCTCTAACATGCTCTGTTTGTCTTCCAGCTCCAGCTGTCGAGACCTTTGAAACACAAAACCAGAATCACACAAATATATCATGCTGCTGTTAGCACAGCCTGTAATTTAGCTTCTAACACAGAGGATCCAATTGTGCACAGAGCCAATACATGATAAATACATGCAAAGCGGTGGGTTAAATAAATGAGGCCACTCTAAGCATTCATCTTAAGCATTAGTGCTCATCAAAGACATGCAGAAGAGAGGTTTCCAAGGGCAACGAGACTCAGCTGGCTTTCAGTGAGCTTTGAGGTTTTCCTTTACACATGCAAAAATAAATGATGCACTTTGAGCAATAACTGCTATTGAGTTATTTATGTGCATTGTATTAATGCTGACATTACCACTTGGTTAAACAACCAAGATGTTTATTAATTCAACCCAACTTGTGCCTAATTTTTTAGGGTAATGGTGATCCGACTTACGCCACCATGAGATCAGACTCCTCTGAGAGTAGATTGTTCTTCTCCTGGACCAGATCAATCCACTGGTCAATCGTTTCAGGGTCACCTGAAACTAAAACACACACACACATCCACACAGGGTTGTTACGACACCTACAAGATCTCCTCATCCTCAGTCGGAGCCACACTGTGTCACCCATTTGCTTCTCTTAATCAGCTTACAGTGCATCCTGGGATGCTTTTAAAACAGTATTGAAGGAGTTGTATGCAGGGCACAAAACGTTCAAAGTAATATAATTTAAAGAAATGTATATGCAAAAAAACCTAATTTCAAGCATTTTATCATTTGCATAATGAGAAACAAAATAAAGCTTTAAGTTATGTATTTACATTTAAACATCTGATAAAAAAAATATATTCACGTTCATTGAAACTCTTATACGTTAATAAAACATCTGCTGAATTGTCCTAATGTTAGACAGTAGAGCAAGTTTGATTTCTTAATTTTAATCCATACTCATTTTGATGATATGTTGAATCATATTGAATCAATATTTTAGTCTATGCTCTTTTCAGATGATGCATGAACAAAATTTGGTTTAGTTTAGGGTCCAATTCTCACTATTAACTAGTTGCTTATTTGCATGCATATTAATATGATATTGGCTGTTTATTAGTACTTATAAAGCTCATATTAATGCCTTATTCTGCATGAAGATATTTTACATTCCTTAATCCTACCCAATACCTAAACTTAACATCTACCTTACTAACTATTAATAAACAGTAATTAGGAGATTATTGAGGCACAAGTCATAGTTAATAGTTAGTGAGAATTGGACCCTAATCTAAAGCGTGACCCAAAATTTCACTAAACATTTTTTTGTAGAGCCAATAAATCGCAATGATTTTTTTATATGAAACAAAGTCTTAGTTTTCAAATTCTGTCAATTTTATAACAAACAATGTCACGTAACGTTACATTTGCCTCGAAAAAGCCATTCAATTTTCAATTACCACAACTCAATAGTTAGCTAGAAATTTAAGAGAGGATAATTTTGTTAAATATATATTCACTATATTACAGATTCATTATATTTTTACTTAATCTGTTCTTTAATATTTAGTATACGTTTGAATAAATTCAGCATGAAATATGACAACCTGAGCCAACGTTTAAAAACAACAGTGGAGCAGAAACATATTTATATCATTAAAGAGTTAATATTATTGTCCTAATGTATTATAAAAATTGCCTTATGTGCTATGTAAATCAGTTGTTAATTGTACCAACTGAAAATGTTCCCTGTAAAGTTTACAACATTAGTTTTTCCTTGATAAAAATGGACTGTACTGTATCTGAAATGCATATCCAAATGAAGTGATATTGAATCAAAATTCAATCGAAAGCTTGTGAATCGCCCGGCTGTATTAGACTGTAAATGTAACTCTTATTGTAACTCTGAAAACAAAATAATCTTGGTACGTCTTGGTGACGTACAAGTGCAGGGTTAACAAGTTCACTGGGTTTCAGTGAGAGTTTAAGCACACACACATTCTGGCTGCTGTATAATATGATGAAGTGAAATCATTAGTGGTGCATGTAGATAGATGAGATGTCATACCAGCCTCTCCTCTCAGAACTCTCTCCAGCTCCACTCCTTTCTCTTCCAGATCTTTAAAGGTCACTTCTATCTCTTCCAGCCGTCTCTGAATCGTCTGTGTGGGGGTCAGAACCAGAACAGTATCAGACCAAATGAGAATGAAATCCAGATCACTCTATTCTTCATCTTGATATAAATTGACGCTGATTTTTCTTTTAAGTGGCATGTGTTTTTTTTTTGTTTTTTTTACCATTATGGGAAACAATCTACACATGGTAGAGATTGATCTTGCTCACCTGAGCTTTGTGGAAGCGCTGGATTTCGCTCATTTTAGCTTTCCGCTCCAGAGTTTTCATCCTCTTTAGGTCCCGTTTCTCTGACTCAGAAATCTCATAATCGCCCCCCTGAACACATACAACACAAACCTACAGTTAACATCTTCATGGGAGAATTTAATCAGTCTGCCAGAAAACATGATCTCATGATCATGATTCAGTGCTTTTCTGCCAAAATAAAAGCTTAATTGTATGAAAATTAAGAAATTAAGACAGCCATAAATATTAGTAATTGTACAGTATAAATTTTTTTTGTATTTATTAGATGCTCTTTTATCAAATACTCTGTTTTTATTTTACAATGAAATATTACAATTATAATACTTTTTTTATTTTTTATATTTGTAATTATTAATAATTATTACGGTAGTTTTATAGTCATATTAATATAGAATAGCCTACTTATTTTGAATATTTAAATTTAATAATAATAATAATTATTATTATTATAGTCATGTCACATAATCACAAATTTAGGCCAAATTATGCAGCTTCACAAACAAGCTAGTTGCATTTTAAAATCAAACAAAAACAATATATATATATATATATATATATATATATATATATATTAGTTTTTCCCCCCAAATCATGCAGCCCTAGTTGATGAAATGGCATCAAAGTTTTGTTTGGGGACATCACAATAAAGCATTATCAAAAAAATAACTGTATATTCCTACCTGTTTGTAAATTATGTTTGTAAAATCTGGTTGATATGGATGGAAATTTGGTCTTCTGACTAAATAAGTTATGGACTAAATCTCAGAATGAATACTAATATGAACATATTCCCACCTTGCAATCCAAAAAATGTGCTGCTTCTTGAAGATCCTCCTCATCCTCTTCTTCGTCGTCGTCAACACATTCTTCGTTATCATCTTCTGATACATAATGGTCTGGTTGAGTTTGTTCTGATAAGGGAATTCATACCAAAATCAGCTACTAAGTATAACCAAAAGCCGTTTATAAAAAAGTACAAAAAGAAAATCGGGCTTCCAACCTGAAGGTACGACTCGGAGGACGCTGAAGCGCTGCTGTAGCCGTGGTGAAGACAGATTCCACGGGGAAAACTTGGAGCGCGTCTTTCCGTGCTGCGATTGGGTGGTGGGCGGAGGTTCGCTCTTCCTTCTCAAGCAGCGACGGTTAAGCTGGTTCTGCAAGCTCTTCTTTGTAGCGATGCCTCCGCTCCAGTATCCCTCCTCCTCGACTCCTTCATGCTGCTTGGAGGAAGAGGAGGTGGAGGCAGCAGAAGACGAGGCGGGTGTCTCAGAGTCCGAATCCTGGCTGAGAAGGTCAGCTTTTTCCTCTTCGCTCAGCTGAAGTTTGCGCAGGGACGGCTTGGGTTTGGAGTGAGGCGTGAGGTCGTGATGAGTTTCCTCAGGTTCCTCTGGGATATTGGAGGGTTCGGGCACCACGTTATGGACAGTGCGAGGTTTTGGGAGCGGCACTCTGGAACTTCGCGGAGCTGGCACTGGAACGGACTGGCTGCTGTTATTTTGTTGGCTCTCAATGCCTGTGCTCTCTGGATTGAGCTCTGAGGGTTTGTGTGGTTCATGAGATTCCTTAAGGTCAGGTGACAGATAGTCATCTTGCTCTGTGGGAGTAGGGCACTCATTCGATTCTTCGAAGTCAGGGTCAACAGATATCTTATATGAGCCCTTCCGTCTCACAGAGACATGTGGAGGAGGGGATGCCATCTCTACAGTTTCACCATTGTGTGTCTTTTCCTTATCATCCTCTTCATTATGACTATTCTCAACATGATTCTAGAAAACAGAAAAACATGACATTATTATGATATTTTGGGCCTTCTGTGTTCGTGAACACAAATGTTAGCTTGTTCAATTTACCTACCATCCATCCATCCATCCATCCATCCTTACTACTTTTTGAAAGAAGCCTCTTCTGCTCACCAATACTCCATTTATATAAAACAGTAAAAACTGTAATATTGTGAAATATTAGAATTTAAAATAACCGTTTTCTATTTTAATATATTGTCAAATGTAATTTATTCCTGTGATGCAAAGCTGAATTTTGCATCACAAATTCAGGAATCATTCTAATATGCTGATTTGCTGCTCAAGAAACATTTTGTATTATGAATGTTGAAAACAGCTGCGATGCTTCATATTTTTGAATCAGTGTCTTCTTCTACGGTTAATTTTAGATTTCAGGTCAAGAATGGTCATGGTTGAGCCACATATTGAAGAGCATCTTGCTAAGAAAGTTCTTTTTAGTGAATCACAAATAAAGTGATCAGTGTAGTACGATTCTGAAAGAATCAAACACATCCAGCTAACTGTGAGAGTTGACTGGTTCATATGGCATGTTAAAAATAAACATTATGACTTTTGGTAATATTTTATACTGTATCAGATCAACCGCTTAAAGACTAAAGGCTAATAAGAATTGGAAAGTCATTTACAAAAGGTGTGTTTACATAGACTTTTAAGTGTCGTTTTACTTGGTAACTATCACATCATTTGCAAATGAAAGAAAATGTCTTTTTTCCAAATATGTATTACTTACAAATACTAAAAGAATTGATTTGTTCATGAAACTTAAGGTTTTAGAATCAGTCAGAGGAATGTGTTAAACTGTCCAATCCCTATAGTTAAACAGCCAACATGAATAATAAGCAAACTACCTAAATAATAACATTTTAAGATAACTTCACCTCATTGAATACTGAGGTTTGTTACCATCACAGTCAAGGTACAGTCACATTAGCAAAACTTCACAGGCAAAAATGTCCATTGTCTATGGTCAATAGTGTAATGATATATGAAGCACAACTCACACATAAGTTGAATCCGGTGCAAAATCGGTGTGGGGAAATCTTTCGCCCTCAGGCGAAATTCCTGATCACAGATTCCTATTGAAATTACTCTTATTTTGACTATGACAATTCCCCAAACAACACTAAATGGGACCACAAGGATGCAAGTTACACATGTTGGCTAAGCACTCTCATCTTCATTTGGGTACTTGTATTATGATTGTTTTAAAATAAGTAGTAGTTATATCAGCAGCTCACAGAACCAACTGCATCAGCTCTGAGGAGTCTTATGACCAACCAGGAATCCAATACCACAAGCATTCCTTTACACAGAATCTCTCTTCACACACACACACACACACACACACACACACACACACACACACACTAAAACACTACTTTACACAAGAGCAAGAGAGGAAAGGAAATGTTTTCCCTGACGCAGCAGCTGACCCACATTAGTTCTCGTCATAACAAAATGGCTGAATATATCTCAGTGAAGAAAAGACCATCGGTCTATCAAACCATTTTAAATATAAAACTAATATAATAAATAACATACAAATAAGAACTCAACCTAACCCTGTAAGTTCGCACTATGGTCATTAATGTCTCAAATCATGTCTCGTTTGAGAGGGGTGTGCAATTACTTCTCTAAGTTGAAGGTACTTGTGATTTTCATCTGACAGATAATAAAATGTGTACAAAACTATAGCAAGAGGGAGTAGAAAAAGAAAAAAAACTACCTACAACCACAAAAAGCACTCTAGCAACTCCATCGTCACCTAGAGTTTTGCCAAGGTCCTCTTAGATTTTCTTCAGAAAATGTGAAAATAGTGTTACTGTCCTGTATTCCCATGGTACATGGTATTCCTGTGGTATCATGTCCAAATAAATCATATTTCATATATATTTCTGTGTACATGAACTACAGAACAATGACTTGCTAATGAAAGTTATTACGCTACCCACACTCTCCGTGCAATATCGACAGTGAAAATAATTATCGTTCCCAGTATCCTCACACAACGAGATCCGACGGTAAATAGGAGGCAATCAAGCGTCTCATTAGCTCTGATGTGATTCATACCTGTGAGCCTCGGTGACCTTCATCACCCTCCTCTTCCTCAGCCACTGAGTGCTCCTCACAGTAGAATCTCCCTGAAGAAAAATCAAATTCAGGAGCAGCTGTAAATATGGAGGGCTGTAACATGGATGCACAGGCCGTTTTTTCAAACGAGCAGTGAATTATTGAACAAGCCCCACTTTTCTTGTAGGGAAAGCAGGATCATGTCAGAATCATGGACCACAGAAACTGAGATTTTTGAAAGGGTGCACAAGAGGTTGACTGTAATTTACATGTGTTGTAATAGCCATAATCTAATAAGACAGTGTTCCACACTGTACGAGTTATGAATAGCTTTAAAAGGTTATGTAATATTTCATTTAACATCAAGATGTTTCAGTCCTTATGACAGCAGATGAGAGACAAGTGCATGAAAAATAATAAAATAAAATTACGTAATGTAAAAAACTAAAAATAATGCTGAAATATTTATTATTAAATACATATTTATTAACTTAGTAAGGCCTACATTTTACCTACTATTAGCCCTTGATCTACTAAAAACTAAACTAAACTAAACCAAACTAAACTAAACTAAACTAAACTAAACTAAACTAAACTAAACTAAACTAAACTAAACTAAACTAAACTAAACTAAACTAAACTAAACTAAACTAAACTAAACTTCCCCATGACATGTGGGAAAAAAATATTTATATCACGGCCACGAATTAACAAATCGTTCCCACGACTTGCTAATATGTCAGCATGTTTTACTAATTTGTTCCCTCATTTGAACTTTGAAGTAAATCGTGGACACAATATAATAATTTGTTCCCTCGTTTTACTAAATCGTGCGCATGATATAACAATTAGTTACCTTGTTTTAGTTAAATTAAATTAGTATAACAAATAAAAAAAATGTATATATGAAGCTTTATCAAGGGTCTTTTGGGCTTACCCGTGTCGGAGTGGAAAGTGTATCCGCCCTGCCGCAGGGTGGAGCCGCAGTGATAACAGCTGAAACAACTGCGATGGAAGAACTTGCCCTCGGCGCTTCCTCTCTCCAGCACGTACAGATGCTTCTTGCAGAAATAACAGAGCTCACTGCCACACGTCTCTGCTGAGGACATCGGTGCCACCGGCGCCGCACACTGGAGATAAACAACGCTTTAAGATACTGCACTTATAATGGATATAGAACAATTAATTAAAAAAACGTGACAAATGGAACCAAAAGTTGTGTGTGTGAGTGTACAAATACTTAAAGATATTTAATTCAAATTTTATTTTAAATCAAATCAAATACTAAATTATCTATAAATAATGCACAAAAGATACAATAAACACTCCATATTTTAACAAATTTTACAGTTCTAATCTCTCTACTGTTAAAGCTGGAGTCGGCAAGTCTGGCAGATTGAGTGGATTTAGGAAAATTTTGAATGTTTACAACTCTCATGCCCCTCCCCCACTATCAACAGATACCCTCCCACCGAGTTCATGCTCGTCAGTGTGTGTGCACCAGATTTTCAGTGAACGCCAGGGCTCTCAAGTGTCACGCATTGAGCGTGACAGTCACTCATTTCGGTCTTTTGTCACGCTCTCCCGCCACATATTGTATTTCTCACGCTGAAAAACTATTTGTAATATATTTAATATGCCGCAGCGCCGCTCTCACTGTGGAACCGGCATGAATCAAGCGCGTTTCCTCTGGTGTTGTTCGTCGAGCTACACAATAGCCAATCAGAAAATAGCACTATTGTATCTGGGTAAGATTTAACGCAACAACCAATGACAAAAATATATCCAACCCCCCGTCGGCTGGGTGTCACTCTTACCTGTCTTCAAAACTTGAGAGCCCTGGAACGCGCCCGTCTCATCAGCATCCATCAACACCATGGAGTATTTGGATTGGAGGTATGCTGTCCTGGCTAATCTACCGATAGATTGCAATTGCTAACTAACGTCATTTATACTCTAAATGAGCTTACTTGATTTTCCGCCATCACTCACATTGTAACGTGCGCGAGGGGTGGCGTGTGCCCGATCTGTGATTGACAGTCAGATCTCACACCCCCCTGCGCTGATTGGACATGATGAACCGGGAGCTGTGGATTTTTGCAAAAAAAATAACACGCTCCAGGTGGAGTTAGAAGCTCGGTTTTTTTTTCTAAAACCACTTTATTTATGTTGTTCTGTCAGATTATAGTGTCGATTTCACTGAATATAATCAAAAAAATGTTGCCGACGGCAGCTTTAACTAGTAATTGGGGTTTCAAGTTAAGTTTGAAATAAAATGATTTCATGCAAGTAGATATAAATGTATATTAAATAATATTTTAATATCTTTAATTTAATCTTTAATTAAATGTATATTAAAATTTAAAATAATTAAAAAAGGAATTCGCTACATTGGACACTTTTGGCCACATTTTTCCCCCACTTCCTGTGGTATTTTTGTCCAAAGTCCTGTTTAATTTTTTACCCTGACATGAGAGAATTTTTTTATTTTATTTAAAAGGCTGATATGTAATCAAGCCACCCACATTGTATCTACAGTTCTATCTATCATTTGTTGCGTTTACTGCCAAAAACCACAGAAATAACAACAGAATATCGGTCTTCACTCCAAGCAGATGTTTAACGCGTCACAACAACACTGTAGTCACCATTTAAATGAAGAACTATATTTCAACCCTTACTTTTTCCTCTTTCACATCCTTCTCCTCCTCTTTCTCCTTCATCTTTTGCTTTCTTGGTCCTTTCTCCGATGCCAGTCGGTCCTGAGAGACACGGGTCACATGATCTCATTTATAGCTCAGGTTAAGTAATGTGGCGACAGCAGATCGACAGAAATAAACAATGATTTTGCCGTTATCATGCACTGCAAACGGACAGCAAGCAAACACTAGCATCCCCCTTTCTCTTGTCCTGTTATTATTCGCTTTCTCTCATGTAACTTCCTCAATGTGGCCACAGCATGGGAGTATTTGGCTTTGGCAACAGCTGTGTGTAATGGGGGCGTTTAGTGTTTTCCTAATGCTGTGGTTCATTACGACAGAGATTGCACATGATTTCATGCTCTATTTAACCCAATACACCAAAGATGACCTTTGACAGGCACCACTGCTACCCTGTAAACAAAATGGGGGTTTGTTTTACATGATAACACGCAGGTGTTTGCGTACCCTGCGTCTCTGGAGGGAGTTGCGCTTGAGCGTGTTGAGGAAGGAGACGGCCGAGCGGGTTCTGGACAGCGAGAGGGTATTGTTGGGCGAGAGGCTGTTGCAGCGTCCTGAGGAAGACAAGAATGGAAATAGTGAGAAGAAAATAAATGGAAACAGATGTGAAGTAATTAGTCTCCCGGAAATAGTTTCACATTTATATTTGTAGATTGGTTTACATGTTTGCTCACGCAGTGCTAAAAGTAAAGTACAATACATACATTAAAATAAGTTTTTGAGGCAAAGAAAGAAATGTATAACATTTTTATGTAAAGTAAAAATGCTTATAAAGCCATAAAAACAGATTCCAGATAATAAACAACAAAAAAAATGAATCTGTCCCATAACATATTATTTAAGCTTTTCATATTGCAGCAAAACCTTAAGAGCATTGCACTTTAATTGTATATTTCTACAACTCATAAAATATACAAATATATAAATACATAAATACATTTAAATTAAATGTAAAATTAAATTAAATTAAAAATAATCAAATTAAACGTACAAAAATCAACACGGAAAACGCTGTGAAAAATGTACATTAAATATGATATATCATAAAATTAAATTTTAAACATCAAACATATTCCACATATACACACACACACGAGTGAACAAGAAAAGCATCATTTATAATCTCTCAAATGCACTGTATCATTTCATAATCCAGAACAACCTTACATAAACCGTGCATTTTAGATGCAATTGATCAAATCATTACGTATAAAACGGAAGCAAACTGAAATAAAAAAATACCCATTACGTTAACAAAAAACAAAACGGAATGACATATTCTCCTACCCTTTAAACTGCAACAAATACGAGTCGTCACATTCAATATGCGCTTTGCAGTGGCGTGTTAGAGATGAGCTGTATTGGATCCCACCCCCTTCCCCAGAATACACACATCCAGAGCCTGCGTGAGTGACAGCTCAACCTGGAGCACATCTGTGTGAGATCCCCTCCCAAACACAGCATCCGACAACTAAACGCTGAATCCAGCTCCCTAAAGCCCCTCTAACGGCTGTGATTCCTCCTCAACAGATGGCGTTTCAAAATCCGTCTCATGGAGCGGTGCCTGTGGAGGCTGGAATCAGATCCACTCCCACCGAATCCCCCGTAAGCAGCTGAGTGCATTTGCTGCTGCAGCCGCTGCTGTCAGACTACAGACTACAGCAGAAAACTGCCCGTTCACAGCAGTGCATGCTGGGAAGGGATCTTAAAGAGACAGTAGCGCTGCTATTATAAGAGTTTGCCTCTCTAGTCCATATAGATCATGTATTGAAATCTGTTACAGTCTGTGGTTTAGTCTGTCTTGTACTTATTTTTTGTTGTCCCTCCCTTGTTTACTTTGGCGTCGTTCTATCTCTATAAGCGCGCATGCTCTCTTTTCTGTTAGGTTGACGCACTTGTTCATCATTTGAAAGGTAGCTGATTGAAACAGGCAGATAAAAGACACCAATAAGGAGGAGAAAGGGGAGAGATGAAAGACTTACGGGCCAGCCAGCACAGCAGCCTCTTTATGTTTTATGTTATTTGCGTTTTATGCTTTGCGTTCCATATTTCTCTTTATTAGTTGTTGTCTGCTATTTTAAATACTTCCTTGGTTGGCATGTTGTTTGATTTTGCTTATACATTGTCTTGAGTGAATTAATAAAATAGTTCTGAGTAGTGGCATTGTTCACTCCTTTTTGTTTGTTACGTTACCTTTCCTTTTTAAATTATTTCACTAGAAGGGAGGTCGTAACAAAACCAAGCTGAAAATGTACATGTATAAGCATCGTACATGAAGGTAACAAATTGTTTTATTATATATTTCGGACAACCATTAAAAGTGCCTTTCATAATTATGAATGCCTCCAAAGACGGCCCATCATTACCTCCTGGTGTATCTTTCTCGGTGAGAGCGGTGCGTATCTGTGTGAGGTAGACCACCATTGAGAGCTGGTCGATTTTACCGCAGGTGGTCATATCAGCGGCACGCATGATGGGAGCGATGCCAAACTCTTTCTCCGTGATGTCAAAGGCCAGCTTATTGTTCGCAGTGATATTATATTCATCTAGACGAGACATGTCACTGAAAGAGAGGACAGCATGCATATTATTTGTATGCACTTATTGTATGTGTATTTACATCTATCTATACACTAACGATCAAAAGTTTTTGAAAGAAATCTCAAATGCTCATCAAGGCAATTGAAAATAACTGTTTAAAACTACATTTTAATATCGTTAGCCTCATAGCATAATTGCTTAAGTCATTTTGTGTTTTTTCTTGTTTTCCAAAGACATTGAAATATGACTTCGGCAATTATAATAACAGAAAAAAGTTATTTATTCCTGTGATGCAAAGCTGGATTTTCAGCATCATTTATCCAGTCTTCAGTGTCACATGATCCTTCAGATATCATTCTATACAGTTGTGGTCAGAATTAATGGCACCCCTGGTAAATATGATCAAAAATGGGTGTAAAATATAAATCTGCATTGTTTATCCTTTTGATCTTTCATTAAAAAAATTAGCAAAAATCGAACCTTTCATTGAAGTAAAAGAATTGAAAGTGCGGGAGAAATCACATTATGAAATAAATGTTTTTCTCCAAAACACGTTGGCCACAAATATTGGCACCCTTTTATTAAATACTTTTTGCAATCTCCTTTTTCCAAGATAACAACAGCTCATAGTCTTCTCCTATAATGCCTGATGAGTTTGGAGAACACCTGACAAGAGATCAGAGACCATTCCTCCACACAGAATCTCTCCATATCCTTCAGATTCCCAGATCAAAGTTGGGGCGGCAGTGGCTCAGTGGTTCATGTTGGTTGTCTACATGGTGGTTCAATCCTCGGTTCCACCTGACCAAGTGTCGAGGTGTCCATGAGCAAGACACCTAACCCCAGCTGCTCCCGACGAGCTGGATGGCGCCTTGCATGGCTGCCGTCGCCCGTCGGTGTATGAATGAGTGAGTGAATGGGTGAATGTCAGGCAAATTGTAAAGCGCTTTGGTGGCCCTTGGGTCTGTGAAAGCGCTATATAAATGCAGTCCATTTACCATGTTGGTGGTGCTTCTCCTCTTCAGTTGAACACACTCATTTTCAATCTTTAGGGTTCATGTCAGGGAACTGGGACGGTCATGGCAGAAGCTTCATTTTGTGCTCATTGACACATTTTTGTGTTGATTTTGATGTTTGTTTATACGATTTTGATGTACGGCCCATTATAAGATTTCTAGCAGAAGCCGTCAGGTTTTGATATTTTATCTGTAGAATCCACAATGCCATGTGTCTGAACAAGATGTCCAGGACCTCCAGCAGAAAAATATGCCCACAACATTAAAGATCCAGCAGTATATTAAATTGTCCACATGGGGTACTTTTTATCCTTGTATGCACCAAACCCATCTAGCGTGTTTGCTCCCAAAAAGCTCTTTTGTTAGTTTCATCTGACCACAGAACCCTGTGCCGTTTGAAGTAACATCTTTAGTTGATTGGAACTTCTTAATTATTGTCCTGATGGTGAAAATGGGAATTTTCAAACCTTTAGCCATTTTCTTACAACACTTTTTTATTTTGTGAAGCTCAACGATCTTTTGATGCACATCAGAACTATGTTCTTTGGTTTTATTCATTGTGACGGATGGTTAAGGGAATTTGGCCTTTGTGTTTCCTCATATTTAAACTCCTGTGAAACAAGAAGTCATAGCTAGACAATTTCATGTTCCTAGTCACCCTGGTGTGCTAAAAAAGGTCAATATTAATGGGAATATACTTCAGAAATATTTTACTCGTAAAAAATTCTAGGGGTGCCAATAATTGTGGCCAACGTGTCTTTGAGAAAAACATTTATTTCATAATGCGATTTCCCCCCCACTTTCAATTCTTTTACTTCATTGAAAGGTTAGATTTTTGCAAACATTTTTGAATGAAAGATCAAAAGGATATCCAATGCAGATTTATTTTTTACAGCCATCTTTGATCATATTTACCTGGGGTGCCAATAATTCTGACCACAACTGTATATATATATATATATATATATAAAATGAAAAAATAAAACTATCTTTTGTAAAATTATTATGTATTTACTGTCACTTTTGACAATCAATTTCATGCATCTTTGCTGAATAAAAGTATTAATTTCTTTAAAAATAAAATAAAAACTCCACCTTACTGCACCCAAACTGTTGAATAGTAATATATCTAGCAACAGTTTATCACAACAAAATTTGGCTCTGCATGTTAAATCCATTATGCTAATACTCTTGTTTCTTGATGGTCAGGTGGTCTTACATGAGTTCAGGTCTGAAGTTGTGGATGAGAGCGCAGAGAGCCAGGCCAGACCTCCAGGACTCGCTCAGATCTTTCACCTTCACGTGCTCGTACCCCGCTGTGTTCTTCTGACACCAGGACAGCAGTTCCTCCAGACGTCTGATAGAGTCTAAACACACACATTTAGTTCATCACTTCACTGTGAGGTCTGTGCTTCTGTGCATTTTCATCAGGTTATGAAACCCTAAAACACATTTTTGACATAATCAGATGCACAACGCTAATATGTTAACATCAACAGATGATGCATATTATTATTATTTTGAATTGTTGAAAGTTTTTGTTGTTGCTTTTTTTCAACATATACCCAATTAAAATATTAAATACACCCTCAGTGTGCTATAAGTTAAAGTGATACAAGTTACATATACATACAGAATGTACAAATGTATATACATATGAGGGTTTGTGTATATAAGATAAAGTAATTTATAAGTATATAAGTTAAAGTACGTGACATTTACCTTTTCTAGGTTTATTTTTTATGTTGGGTTTCCTCTGTTTGTTCGGTTTCCTCTCATCATCCTCTACTTCATACAGACGCTTGACCTTTAAATTGAACACAAACAGACTTAAATAAAACTCTCTGATGATAAAAACCCTTTCATTAATTATCATTGCTAGGTACTACAAGCAGCTTTTGCATGCGTGTAAGTTTGCGTATAGGAGTGTGTGTGTTTGACCTGTCTGGGTTGTATAGAGGACAGGTTGACGTTTGGGTAACGCGTGGATGGATCGATGCTGTAGGCAATGTGGTTCTTGCTGGTGTTCTCTGGAGTGGTTTGAGAGAGCAACTGATACACGCTCTCCCTGTAGAAGACATTCACAGCATAATGCACTACTGCACTATTTGAATCATTTGTGCATTTTATATTGATATATACATTCACTACCGTTCAAAGTTTGGGGATGGTAAGGAATTTGTGTTTTTAACAGAAGATTTAATTAAAATAGAAATCTTTTGTAACATTATAAACAGCGTAAAAACTCAGTACCTCTCCGCGATCACCTCCAGGGGTGGCAGACCTTTTCCCCAATTCCTGACCATCCACGCCGTGTCAAGCGCAGCCAGGAAACCACGAGCAATGCCAGTGCCAAGAGGCCAAAATGGCTGCAATAAAATAAGATAAAAATACAAATATCTTTTAGTCTATCTATTATGATAGCTATAATTAGATTTGATGGTCAATGCCAATATGATGTAAGCTATACTGTTTTACTTGTATTGTTTAAACAGTGCTTACATAAAACCAAACTCAACGAAACAAAGTTTTGATCCAATCCAAGCCGATCTGAGAAAGCAGCGGCTGTTAATCATACGTGATTATTTCACCACAGGGTGTCAGTGCTCGTCTAAACTAGTGACCTGATGAATAGTCATAGTCATGTCATCAATAGTCATTTCATAGTCAATAATTTTACTGTATGTAATTTACATGTTTATGCACGTTTAAGACTAAGTATTTAACGTCATTACATTTATTTAAGGCACGCCAGCGCATCCATCCATTCAAATATTTTAAAAGAATATAAAAAGCCAGTATGAAACAAGGTCAGTAAGAGAAAAACAAGGTTAATGAGAAGAATGTTCTCATGGCTTCTGCTATAATGAGAACTATAGTCTATAGTTAGTGGGGAAATATATTTATTTATTATTCAGAATTCACAGTTGGAAAGAAAATAGGAACATTTCAGCAGGTTTAAGATAATTCATGTTAACGCAGAGAACATGATTCACTGTTTTAATCAATTGACAGCCATAAAACGCAGTAATAATCTGCGTTCTCGTGTATGTAGGTGTGCTGAACACTGTTACTGGAAAGTAACTTGTAATAAGTAGAACTAGGAAGTAGTTGTGCAAGTAGTCCATTGTAAATGGAACAATATAAAGTACAAACAAAGACTCTTTAGTACATTTAAAATCCCTAGTTTAAAAATAAGTCCTGAAATAGTTCATTGCTTTCATTATCAATCTAAATGTCAATAATAACATTCATAATTAATTATTGAAATTTATTATTATTATTAATCTTCATTATTATAAATGTACTGTAGCTCAAACAGTAGAGCATGGTGCTAGCAATGCCAAGGTCATGGGTTCGATTCCCGGGAAAAGCAAGAACTGATAACAATGTGTAACTTACCTTGAATGTAATGTAAAGTGCTTTGGATAAAAGCATCTGCCAAATGCATAAATGTAAATGCTTATATCTGTAGATACCACTGTGGTCGCCAAATCATTTTAAAACTATGTAACAATCAATAGATGTCATAATGTTGTCATTAATAATACATTTAACACTGATCCTGTTTACTCATGGTAATAACACACCTCTACTAGAGAGTCTCCCACCAATCCGATGAGCAGTTTCTTCCCTTTCCTCTCCTTCACCAGAGAGGCGTTCTCTGCCCTGTGCATGGAGGTGAAGTCAAACATGGCCACGTCAGGGCGGCCCGCGTGGTTCTTCGCAAACTCCATGTCCGGCAACATGTGATCTGTGGAGAAGTCGGCGGCATCGTATGCGTACTCCTGCAGAGCCTCCTGGTTAATGTTTGCAGACGCGAGCAGCTGCTCGGCATCAGAGAAGTCCTGAGAACGAGAACGTTTTTGATCAAGACAAGGAGGGTTTAATGTCAAGGCCCGTTCACATTGAGAACGATAACTATAAAGATAACTATATTAGCGTCAACACCAACGGATGATATCGTTCTGTTTATTCTAAGCGCGTGCTTGTCTGTCACTTTAAAAGCTTGAGCTCGTTACAGCAGGATGGATTCTGATTGGCTGTCAATGTTTTTATCGTTCATCAGCTGGATAAAATCATTCTGAAAGTGATTCCAACTATGTCATTTCTCTGTGCAATTATACAGTAGTTATAGCTTTGGTGTGAACTCTGCTATTCTTTAATGTTGAGAATGGTTTTTAGAAATATATCTTTATATGTAGTTATCGTCCTTGGTGTGAACGGGCCTTTAGTCTTTCATTATTTCATTTGTACCCTATTTGCACTTCTATCAGAACACAAATAGCAACTGACTCCAGCTATTCCTGTGAGAATACAGTGACGGGAGAGGACAAGAATAGCTGGACAACAGCATGAGGATTGATAAATGTGTTTGTACTGTGAGCTGGAAACAAGTTGAAACATCACCATACACCTCTGCTGATAAAATCAAGGCCTCTTTTCTAGGCTCCGTTTAGCTTTTCTATGAAGTGTTCTCAAAGTCTTTGCATGTGTCACACTGTGTCTCATACCTGCTTTATAACTCCTTTCTTTATCAAGCTCGCCTTTTTTGCAGTCATCACAAAATAGTGGGTATCATCTTTGTAGTAGACAATGTTCTCTAGATCAACGCCTGAAAAACACGACAAACAACAGGACAGATGAAGGGGCGTGTGAGTTTACTTAACTATATTTTGGGAACAAACGTGTTCTCAATAGATAGCTAAATATGACACAAGGTAAAAAATGGTTTAAATGAAAACACAGTGAGATAAGGTAAAAGTTTGTGTGTGTGTGTGTACCGATCTCAGACTGAAGTGCTTGAAAGAATTTCTGGTTGTATATTCGGGCCACGCCGCTGATCTCCTGCACCTGAGCCTCTTGTTTAGTATGGCGGTTTACAAAGTTTGCAGTGATACCGATGGCTAACTTTCCCCTGAGTTCCTTTATCTTAAAACCTGAAGACATGGAGAAAACAACAAAGGGGAAAGTTTCAATAAAATACTAATAAAAAAATTAATATTTACATTTATTTCAAATAATAATAATAAAATAAAATATTTCAAGAATTTAGTACAAACTGTGACTCGGGTAATGAGGGTTTTTACAACAAAATAAAACATAATTTCATTAAATAAAATAATTAAATAAAATATCATTTAATTAAATACCATATTCCAAGTGTTTAGTGCAAAGTGATCAGGATCATTAAGGGTTTTACAACAAAATAAAAGTTAAAACAAATACAATAAAATGCATTATTAAATTAAATTACCAAATGAAATGAAATTTAAAAATGAAATATTCCAAGTATTTAGTAAAAAGTGACTTGAATAAGCAGAGCTTTTACAACAATAAAATTAAACATTTGATTAAATATTTAATGACAATTTTATTCAATATTTAAATGAATTTCAAAGGGAAAGGGGATTTTATAAAATCCACTCATCCGTGTAAACGTTATATTTGGCACAATGTTACCATCTGGCACATATCTTCCCCCTCCAGCGGAAATAAAAACATCAAACTGAAAAGCTGCAGCCGCGTGAGACTTAGGAGACACCCCTGCCCTCCATCCTGAGAGAGAGAGAGAGAGAAAGAAAGGAGATATGAGGCAAAAAGTTAAAGGACAAACATTATTTTTCAACTACATGACTGCAGACCTTTCCACTTCCTGTGTGCACAACTAGAGCTGGTTTGTACCTGTGGATCCTGATGGTTCAAGCAGACCTTCAAAGGTCACGCCTGTGTGCACCTCGACCCCCAAAATCAGGGCCAACTTCAGCAGAATCAACTGCAGCTGACGGATACCTATAGAGAAGCACAGACCTCATTACTATTCCTGAATTAAAGTGAACACGTGCATTTTCAGCAATTAGACAAGAACTTTCGGTTTCACTTTGATCCTAATTTAACAACATTTAATTGTATTCAGCAAGGGCGCATACAATTGATCAAAAGTTACATACAGTAAAGATTTATAACGTTACAAAAGATTTATATTTCAAATAAATGCTTTCTATTTATCAAATAACCCTAAAATGCATCACAATTTTCACAAAAATATTCAGCAGCACAAGCATTTTCAACATTGATAATAATAAGTAATGTTTCTTGAGCAGCAAATCAGCATATTAGAATGATTTCTGAAGGATCATGTGACTCTGAAGTAATGATGCTAAAAATTCAGCTTTGATCACAGGAATAAATTACATTTTAAAATATATTCAAATAGAAAATTGTAATAATATTGTTTTCAAATAAATACAGGCTTGGTGAGCAGAAGAGACTTAATTCAAAAACATTTTTTTTTTTTAAAATCATACCGACCCCAAACTTTGATATGTTACATTATGGAAAAGCACGTCATGTTGAATGTAATTCATTTGATGATGAAAACAAAAAAAACTATTCAACAAAACTAAACTGTAACTTATAAAGATTCTCACTTATGTGATGAATGGATCCGCTGCAGAATCTTCCATAAAATTTCTTTGCACCGAGGTTTAGCAGGTCTTTAATGGTGTAGGGCCACAGATGCAGGACGTTATTTCTAGTGAAAGAGGTTCTTTTTTCCAGCACAACCACCTGAGCGCCCAGTAGGACCAACTCGATCGCTGTCCTGAGACCACAGGGACCCGCACCCAACACTAAACACTGACACAGAGAAAGAGAGAGTGATTGGGTTTCTTTTCCCAGTGTTAAACCACTTCATAGATGGAAACATCTGACATTATTCAGGTTTTTATGGTACCTTGTTTTGGTGACATGCCTTGCCCTGTTCATAGTTCGGATGGTCGGCTCTCTTGTCGATCTTCTGCCAGAGTTCTTTGGCTTTCCAGTAGTTGAGCTTGTCCTTCAGTTTACTGTAGAAGTACTTGTAGTCCCTGGGGTCGACCTCCAGGTGGCGACAGAGCTCGATGAAGTTCTGCTGTGTCTCTTTACACGTCTGCGCCTGGACAAAGCGGTCAAACAGAGTGTGGCTGGGATTGACAGAGTCTGTTTGGTTGGTCATTGTGATGGGAGAGGCCTGGAGCCTGCTAGATGACCTGCAGAGACAAGAGAGAGCGAGAGAGTTTACAGAAGGATTCCAAACAGAAAGAGTGACAAAAGTCAACTATTCACAGGCTGACTAAAAGGGTATTTAAACCAACTCTGAACATTAATTTTGGTGCGTAACTCATCTAGCACCATTTGGGCTACAAGCATGAAAGATACCTCAAATCAGGCAGCTTGTGTGCTATTACATTTTTAATGTGCCCCTATTAAGCTATTTTAAAGACTCCTAATTTTGTTTTGAAATCTCCTACAATAGGCTTGCATGCATCCAAAGTCAAAAAACACTTTCATTTTCTCATAATATGCAGTATCACCTCTTTTCTCACAAGGCCTGTTTACACCTGCCCACTTCATGTGTTTGAAAGACACCGGGGAAGGTTGCACTAACATAGCCATTATGTTAAGACAGTGTCTTAAGTTATATGACCCACTAGCAGTTAGTCAGGGGCAGTTAATCTTACTTTTTGGTATCAAATTAAGCCAATCTACTTTTTTTATGTAACTGACTTAAAACAAGCTATGAACAGTCTTAAAGAAAAGAAAAAATGTATGTCTTAGAGGTTTGTGCAACCGGCCCCAGAGGTGTAAATGCCCTCCGAAACGCATTCGAGACCTCGCATCAAATCCGATCGCCTCAAACCACATCAGGAGGTGGTCTGGGTCACATTCCAGACGAAACTTGAAAACCACATATGTAAACTTTACTCCTAACAATGCTAAGAAATAAAGCGTGTGAGAGTGTGTTTTAGGCTATATGTCATGTCATAGCCAGATATGACAGTGCTATGCAACATGCAACACCGCAGATGAGTATCTCTCCAGCAAACTGCAGCAATTGAAAGTGAAGTTAGTCGCAGACGCACAATCATCATTATTAAAAGTAAATGATCTTACCAATGCTGTTTCCACGCTCTCTCCTATTGCGGTCTTTGATTTTGAAATTAGCTGATGATCAATAAAATGCAGCTCATATTTTTTTGCTCTCGGTGACGTGAACTCCATTAAATCTGCATATAGCGCGGGAATTGAAGATCGGATTTATATCTGTTTTGCGGAGACACATTTATGTGGGCATGTGTAAATGGAATCGTGTCGATGCATCAGATAGCTATCCGATCAGTAAAAACGCATGAAGTGACCAGGTGTAAACAGGCCCACAGTGTCTGAAACGGTTCAGTAAAAGATTCAGTCTCTCTAAACTCCTTTCCGAGAGCTTAATCGGTTCTGATTGGTCAGACGGCCCAGTCTGTTGTGATTGGTCGACCACTTACAGCTCATTTCGGAAACAAAACGCTCATTAACACAGGGCTCGAATTTCGGCGCGGGATTGCGGGTATTGCGCATAATTCTAATCATTCCCGCAGGTCTCCCATTTATAATGCGGGAAATTCCCGCAATCGTAATCCACACCAATTATAAAATCAAATCATTCTTTTGACAACTCTCTGCCAGACGCAATTTCACAAACAACGTGAGTGTTCAGCAGTGCCGCGTCTTCTATCTCTTCTCTCAAAATGTGTTGGCAAGCATTAAGCGCTGCGGCGATAATACACACTCGTGTTTAGGAGTCGGGACATGACGGAATATTCACTTGCACAATCGGGCCAGCAGTGCATCGTGACTGAAGTTTACCATTTGCACGTCTTTAAGTCTTACCAGTTTAACCCTCTGGGGTCCTTCGGCCCAAATGGACCCGAAGCATTTAAATATATATATTTTTTAAATCATAGCTTTATCGGAATGGTCCGAAATTTGGTGACTTTGTTGGTACTTGGCATATGAACACCCAAAAAAATTGGGGACAGGATTTGAATAGTCTAAGTGGTTGTAAAAAAAATAGTCACACTCAGGACCTTCGGGTCCAAATGGACCCGCATAGGAAATGAATGGGAAATTGGCAAAAATGTGAAAATACAGAGTTATTTTGTGCGTACAATCTACAAATCAGCCACGATCCAGAAAAAAAGCACACAACAGTGAAGGGGTGAATCTATAAAACATCAAGAGTGCAAAACAGACACATCCACACACACACACACACACACACACACACACACAAACACACTTTTATACACATACACACTAATAAATTCAGATTACATATGGGTTTTGAATTTTTAAAATGCTCAGTTTGTCCACCAGATGGCATCCATCTCATTTCAAAAATTGCTTTCATGAGGCCTAGGCTTGACTCTAAAATGAAATACAGCTTTAAAAAAAAAAAAAAAAAAAAAAAAATTTGGTAAAAAAATGGGTCATAATTATTGCATTAATATTAATTATAAATCATTTTTATTTTTGAAATTATCTCAAAACACCAAAAAAGAAAAGAAAAAATATTATAAAAAATAAGTTAAAAAAAAAAATGTTGATTTTTTTTTAATAAATATTAATCCCACCCTTCCGGCCCATTTGGACCCGAAGGTCCTGAGTGTGACTCTGAAATGAAGGACCCCAGAGGGTTAAACATTCAAGCGATTTTAAACTAATCAGTGCTCGCGCGCTCTCTGAGATGATTTTTCTATGCGCACATTCATAAAAAAAACGCCTCAAAAACAGCTGGCCAGTAACAAAAGTTATTTTTCGCGGATTATATTGCTTCAACACGCAAAATTGTGTCAATTTCGGTCTTCGTGAGTATACTCTAAACATAGTCGGTTTTGTCTTTAATAAGCATAAAACGCATGCCAGTATAATGAACACAGGATCCGTGCACTAGCTCTTAAAGTGACGGCAGCCATATGTGTCTGTCATTAATTTTGTTGTCAAAACAACAAAAGATGGCTTTAAGTTGAAGGAATCAGGATTAATAGCCTATGTATTTAATTTATTCAGGACTAAAATACTGTAACCCACTGTTATTTTCCATTTGATTACTTTATTCAGTTTCTGTATATGAATACTAGTGTTAGACCTATTCAAAAACTTTTCTCTTTATTTGTATCTTTATTCTATTGTATTTATTTGTGCTACTTTTTTCAATTTAATTAAACAATTTAAATCAAGCTTCCTTGTGATGTGTAAATTCTTAACAACAATATTAGGCCTACCCCATTGTAAAAATGCAATGAGCGCAAACATTTAGGCAAGATATCCTTTGGAAGTGCATGGAAAATATATTTGCTGTAGCAGCGTAGAAAACGCAACCCCTATTATGAAAAAAATACTCTTACAACAAAACGAAAGATTCAATTCCAGGGATGAGAGCCTGAACAATAACATTACATAGTTTATGGTTTTACTCTGAATGCGTTTTATGGAATCAAGTTCCACAACTTTCAAGAGGAAACAAAGTATTGTAAAGTTAACCTCTGTGTTAACCCAGAGATCACATAAAGAGATAGCAGTATTGACTGTTACAAATGACCGAATATGTCACAAAACTATTTTAGGCTAGGTCACACAGTCACACTGACAACAAACAAACTAAGCAAATTCACACTAGCACTTAGAGCTGTCAAATTAAAATTAGAAATTTCATATATTGGTCGAAATAAAAATAAAAATCCATATTCGAATGCAAAAACAGTGCATTCGAATTTTAGGTGTGCATCAGCTTTATCAGTGGCGCGCCACGCACAAGATGCGATGATGATGATGATGATGTAAGAGTTGTTGCGTTTGAATGTTTTTTGTTAGCCTATTCAGTTTAACCCACTAGATGCAGCACTGCTGAGTAGTTCATTCAAAACATTGCAGAAATAGAGAAGCTCAATGCAGAGAAGATCTTGGTTACGTTAAAACCGAAACCAAGCCGATCACACAGAATGCATTTTCCATTGTTTTCTACACAAGCGCTAGACAGACATCTTTGACCATTGCACTCACGTCTCTCACAAGACAAGTTAAAAGAAGTTCAACTTTTAAAAAAACATGTCTTGAGACTTTTTTTCCATTTCACTGCATCTCGTGTTTTTAAACACTAAAGAAGTCTGTGTGATCGGCACTCTCTTTGTATTAAACTATGCATAAATACATGATGCTGTTTTGCTCATAATTGTTTATGCGATTTATGAAATTAATTATATATATATATATATATATATATATATTTTTTTTACCTTTATTTAACCAGGATAATCTCTCTGAGATTAAAAAACTCTTTCACAGGAGTGTCCTTGGAAATATTTGATTTATAAACTTTAGTTTAAATGTTATGCACTTTTTTTAAAACAGTTATTTCATTGCTTTGAATAAAGCCAAAAGCCTTTTTTCCCTAACTGAAATTAGGCCTTTTAAATACAAAGAAAAACAATTGAATATTAGCAATGTTTAAGTAAATAATTTGAATTTAGTTTTTCTGCCATTTTTACCGCTCTAACGATGTCATGACAAACCGGGTCCTCCCTCGAAATCAGGTCTAACTAGGCTATCAGTTGATGATTGTATTGTACTATACATACTAAATGATATTAAATAATATATAGCTTACTATATAGTGCATAATAAAACAAATTGAATGTAATTTCTTTCACTTGATAAACTGTTAATTAGCCTCATTATTATTAAATAATAATGGCATATAAAGTGAATAAATGCACATCATTACATTCTTTTTTTATAACTGAAATATTTGGACATTTAACACTTATTTTAACAGGAAATTACATTAAAGATTATTTTGAATACATGTAAGTGCAAAATGTGTGTATAACCCAAGCGATCAGGCTAATCGGCTATCTGTGCTAGTACACATACTAACTATAATTCATTAATGGTCATTTTAACATAGTTAAAACAGCATTTATCATAACAAGATTTTGTAGGAATTGTAATCAGGCGCTAAAGATAGAACCTATTAAAAGTAATTTGAGTCAATGGGATTGCTTGGGGTCCTAAAGCCCGGGACACACCAAGCCGACGGTTGCCCGACTAAGTTTTCTCGCCGACGTTTTTGACATGTTGAATCGGCGTCGGGCCGTCGGTGAGTAAGAGAACTCTGATTGGCTGTTCAGCTTAGTGAATGAGTCAGTGCACGAGAATAATAATAGCAAAACAGCGAGCGAGCAAAGAAGTCAAAACGGTACAGATAAGGCTGTTCTAATGTTACGTCATCTTACACGAGTGTTCCTTGGCGAATATTTCAACATGAGCCGAGTGGAATAAAGAAAGCGTTTAGCAGGATTGATATTCAAAACGGTAAGCACGCACTGCTTTGTTTATGGTTTGTGTATCTGCAGAAATAGACAGTTGTCTTTTCCCCGACGCAGACGACGCGGACAACAACATAGTCGGCTTTCATCGGCGCTAGTTCTTTGGCGTCGGTTTGGTGTGTTCGGGCTTAATGCCTGGTTCAGATTACACGATTTTTTTTTGTCTGTTACGATAGTCACTGTGTCAGATTACGCGATTTTGACTCCTAAAATCTTGTCGTGTTGTGGACAAGAAACATGTCAGACTACCCGGTGGTTCCTGACCAGTCATCGCGTGCCGTCTTTAACGACGCGCGTGATGTCATCGAGAAGACGAAACTATAGCGAGTGACTTCCGGGAACAAACGTAAACAAACAATGGATGAAGCGGTGAGTGTTGGCTGTCCTGTGTTCAGAAAAACGTAAAAAAAGAAAGAAAACCCGACAATGGACACGTTCCTGGATTGCTTGAAGAGGACAGTATGGGCTATCAATCCTCCAAAGAGAATATGAGGTAAAATATTGTTTTCTGTTACTGTTGCCACAGCTCCACGAACCTTTCCTCCATGTCATAACTCCACCTAGTAGCACCATCGTCTCTCTTTCGTTTCGCCCTTTTTGAAAGTTGTGTACGGAAAAGCTTCTGTGCTCCTATTGGTCAACCTCATACATGTGACGGAACCCGTCGTGGACGCGTGATTTTTTCCCCCAAACCACTTCAGCGGAAATCCCGCCCTGCAGCCGATTTCATTGATTTAGGTTACAGTGACGGCTGACGGGTAGGTTTAGGGATCAGTGTTTGCTGTAGGCAATCTGTACAGTGATTGACATGACCAATGAAAACTTTGGAATCAGCTGCAGGGCGGGATTTCCGCTGAAGTGGTTTGGGAAAAAAAAAAAAAATCACGCGTCGTGTGGACGACCGTTAAAAAAATTAAACATGCTAGTCTTTTTGTCGTGATGTCGTGAAACATCGCAGACGCGACGTAGGTTGTCGCCCACTATGACACACTATACAAGATGATACGATCGAATCTTGCATCCCGACGCCCGTTGTCGTTTGCGAATCCCCGCGACACCCTACGTCAAACGAATTGTGCCAAAATCGGGCTAAAATCGTGTAATCTCTGAACCAGGCATCAGAGAGACCTGATTATCACACCAGCAATATTGCATTGAAAGTCACTGCTGCAGGCTGAACACAAAAACAGGGTGGAATACATTGCTAAGTGTTTCATGTGACTATCTATGTGTGCAAATATAGATTTAGCAACCAACATTTATTCACAGACTATTTTAAGACAACACTCAGTGTCACTTGCATCTCTAAGACTTGTGGGTTTCATAAATGCAAAGCGTCTGTGTTATTAAAAACTCTCCAGATCACACAGAGGTTCTTACGAAGCACAAAAAGAGGCCTACGATCATTTTTGGCATCCTTTCACTTTGATTCAATTACATTACATACAATAAATACTTCACTTGTGGAAGGACGAGTGCAAAACACCAGGCAAGTTAAACAAGAAAGGTCACTTTCAATTCATCACATCTGAAAAGTGAAAGCGTTTTTTTATTTTATTTACCATCTTAAATGACTGATCTAGAACCACATTAGAATCTCTAGAAGCATATATTCTAGAAGCATAAACTCTACAATGTGCTACTGCTTACCTTTAATTATTTAAACCCAGTGTAAACTTGAATTATAAGGATAAGGCAAAATGATCCAATCTTCATAGCAATCTCAGATCTTGTCTCAGGGTGCTGAGCAAGTACTTCCTTTAATATAGAAGCTTGTAACAAAGCACATAGGCCTATGGTATAATAAAGAGGGCAGACTCACTCAATACTGAGAGAACAAGCATGATGTTATACTCATGTGACATCCCTGTTGTAATGACTGATTTCCCTGTTTTACCTCATCTCTAATGATGCCACGTAACATGACATTTAATGATGTCTGTGTGAGAAAAAAACAGCACGTGACTTCAGGGGGTTTGGTGCCTCCGTGTTCAAAACCCATAATCAGCCTCCTGTGTGCCAACAAATTGCTTCAAACAGGCTTCAAACAAATGTTGCAGCACTTCCTGGATGTTTTATGGTCTCACAGCACAGAAGAGTCTCTCACACATGATCACTTCCTGGAAACAAACAGTCATGTCTTGTTCACATTAATGCTTAACAAATGCTAGGGCTACTGCCTGGAAGGGTTTACACATCATGTCGGGCTTGCTGTTGTTTGCACATAAAGGCCTGTGATATGTGGAACAGATGTGAGACGTTCAACACAACACATCAGGTACAGCCATTATGGCACATATCAAGTCCACACTTCTTATCTAGTGGATGGATCTCACAAAGCCTGTCAAGAACACGTACAAGCCATATGATAATAATAAATTGAATTTTCAATTGTCCTGCATTTTCAATTATGGGAGGCAGTTCAAATATCAGAAGAATAACGCTTGGTATTTTAAAAATGTGTAAACAGTAAAATTTGTCAACAGTAAAAATGTGCAGACGCATTGTGATATTTTGATTTTTTGGATAAATGTGTTAAAAAGGCTTAATTTCTTTTCTGGATTTCATTGGCAGGAAATGTGATCTAGGCCCAGTTGCATAAACAGTTATGGTAAGACTGAGTCTTAAGAACTAGTCTGACCAACTAGCAGTTAGTCAACAGATAACCAGTCTTACTTTCTGGAATCATATTAGCCCAATCTGCTTGTTAAAGTAACTTACTTAAAATTTTTTATTTTAGTTGACAAACTTGTAAGACTAGTCTAAGCACAGTTTATGCAACTGGCCATGACATATTTTCGTGGCTTTTTAAACAATATGGTTTGTTACCTCTACAGGTTTACTGCAGTTAAGTTCAGTCCCATGCATGCTCATTAACAGCATAAGGTTCAAAGATTTATTGATTTAAGGTTTATTCAGCATGGAAGGTGAAACATGCAGATAAAAATTGCTGATCTTATTACATGGCTTCATATGCTGTAAAATAAAACTAATCTTGCCCAGCATCCATCATTGTACTTGACATAGTACAAAAAAATATAGGCCTATATCATGGCCACAAATTAAGAATTCGTTCTCACAACTTTTTAATTTGTTCTCCTCGTTTTAGTAAATTGAGGCCACGTTGTACTAATTCGTTAACTTGTTTTAATTCAACTAAAACAAGGTAATGAATTATTAAATCGTGCACATGATTTAGTAAAATGAGGGAACGAATTTAGTAAAACGAACTGACATATTAGGATATGTTTACACAACAACGATGTACTAAAAACTGAAAGGTTTTTCCTTTGCATTTTTCGAGAACAGACGACAACATTGTTAAAATGATCCCGTTCACACGGATCTGTGAAAAAACGACTAGAAACACTGTATTATTCATGCCAGGCCAGTAGTTGGCGATGTCACTTTGTAAAGAAACACAATGCACCAGTAGACTGAACACGTAATATGCGTGCGCATGACGTCACCAGTTTCACAAATTTGCCGGTGTTTAAAAAAAAAATTTTTTTACACAGAGATGATAACGTGTTGTTTTCAAAAACTTTTGAAAAGTGTGCATTTTCAGGCCCCCAAAACGCTGTTGTCGTGTAAATGAACAGCCAAAACGCATAAAACGCTGTTGTCGTGTAAACTGCCCCTCAGTAAGTCTATAGACTTACTATATATTATAAATCAAATCATTAAAGCCAGTATAACAAATACTATTATAATTTACTGTATTAATAGTTTGCAAAATTTTAACACAATTACAATAATGAGAATAAGATATTTTGGATTTTGGTAATGACAAATGTGGGTAAATGTATTTAATAGGCTATATTATTTTGGGGTCATACAAAATTGGAAAACATCATATACACCGGTCAAAAGTTTGGAAGCATTACAATGTTTAATGTTTTTGAAAGAAGTCTCTTATGCTCATCAAGCCTGCATTTATTTGATCAAAGATACAGAAAAACAGTAATATTGTGAAATATTATTACGATTTAAAATAATAAATTTTCCTGTGATCAAAGCTGAATTTTCAGCATCATTACTCCAGTCTTCAGTGTCACATGATCCTTCAGAAATCATTCTGATATGATGATTTATTATCAATGCTGGAAACTTGTGCTCGTTAATATTTTTATAGAAATATTTTCTAACAATATATATACTACCGTTTAAAAGTTTGGGGTCAGTAATTTTTTTCTTTCTTCTTTTTGAAAGAAATTATTACTTTTATTCAGCAAGGATATGTTAAATTTATAAAAAGTGATAGTAAAGATTTATATTGTTTGAAAAGGTTTCCATTTCGGAAAAAATGCTTTAAAACTTTTTATTCATCAAATACTCCTGAAAAAAGTATCACAGGTTCCAAAAAAATATTAAGCATCACAACTGTTTCCAACATTAATAATACCGAGTATCAAATCAGCATATTATAATGATTTCTGAAGGATCATGGAGACTGAAGTCTGGAGGAATGATGCTGAAAATTCAGCTTTGCATCACAGAAATAAATTATATTTTAAAGTAAATTAAAATAGAAAACTATTAGCCTAATCTAAATTGTAAAAATATATATATATATATTTTATCAAATAAATGCAGCCTTGATGAGCAGAAGAGACTTCTACAAAAACATTAAAAAAATACAGTAATGTTTCCAAACTTTTGACCGGTTCTGTGCACCTTAAGAAACTTTTTTTAGATATACATTTCAGTCATAAACCTTCGTTAACTTTTTTTTTTGCAGTTGTGAGAAATATGACCCGGCCATGTCCTTGACAGGTTGTGACATTCATCCATTCACGACTATAAAAGGTGCTGTTTTCAGTTTCAAATTCACATAGGACGAGCACGTACCAGGCGGATATGAGCTATATTCATAATCACGACACAAAGTACGCACTTAGAGCAAGTCTATAATGCAATCTTGATAACAGTCATTGTTAACAGACAGCAATATACCAGAGCAAAGATTAAAGTCTCTGGGTTAAGGCAGAGTAAGTTGAGTAATAATGAGGGGAAACAGAATTTCCCCCTGTACTTAATAAGTTAAGTTACCCAACACTACACACACACATCACCAGCAACAAGTTTCTGCAACATCCCGAAAGGCTTTATCTCAGGAAACAGGCTCAGTTTGCAAGAGAGACAGACAGAACTGCCAAAAGGCATAAAAAAGTGCCTAAACTAATGCAACACAAAAAGACACATAACAATCATATTAGTGGCATGTAATACTATAGCTTTGCAGTGAGAATAAGTGAAACACAAGGAGAAAAAGCCCTCACTTAGTAAAAATTTGCTGTAGTAACTTAGTGCTACTGAATTCCATACAGTGTAATTATTAATATGATTCTCCAAAATATATCCAAGAATTGCATTATCATGGTTCGTTGATGCCAAAAACGTTGGTGTTACCATGGTACAGTAATTTTGCCAGATGGTACGTTGATATTGTTACCGTGATGATTAACCTCTTTACATAGCATGCTATTTACAAGGTATTCTGTTACCCGATATTCAGATATGCCAGAAAAATGTGGCGAGAAATGTTGGACTTACATTGTTGCAGCACTTTTTAGACATAAGATTGTAACGTTACTACCATGCGCTCAATAATCTACGACCTGAGAAAAACATTTTAGAAACACAGAATTTAGAAAACGTGACGCATATTTGATGGCAACATACAGTAACGTTAGGCTACCTACGGCTACAGGTAAGTTAGTTAGCCTATACTTTTTTTTTTTTTTTTAAGTCTATGGTATACACATACAGACAGTATACTGTAGGCTAGGCTACATATATATAATGTAAGTTATATTTATTTTCAAGATTCCGGTTTGTGAAAACAGTTTCTGTAAAGATCCATCATCGCAGAGACCATACACTATGACACTTTTTTAACCGTCAAAACACAACCGTCTCATTCAAGCAGTGCAACACTGACTGAAGTTCAATATTTGCTGTTAAGAGTTTAGAAGTTATCGACTGACAAGACATATTTGTGATTTAGGTGAAGCTAAATGAAGTAGCACAGTACCTTTCAAGGCAGCTTTGGTTGTAAGTTGTACCTCCTTGTTTATCTCTCTGACTCCGACTCACCTGCGGTGACTCGCCCGGGAATTTACGAATGCTACTAGGGGCTAGGAAGAAGGAAGACTCATGAATATTAACTACATAACGTGACGTTCGGCCATTTGATTGGCTGAAAGACATAGAGCGTCAACGAAGTGTAAACATGTTACTATATTTTTGTCAATGTGTTAGTTAGTTGGTGAATTATTTTTTATACTGTGGCTGATCTAAAAATATATATATATTTTATAAATGCAATTTTGTCGTTTACTTTTACATTCATAAATCAAAGTCTGCATTCGTGTTTATTGTGTTCAATATTTGTTAAGCAAGCTGTAATGTATATTTATTTTCATATTATCTAATAATAAAAAAAAAACGATAAAAGCTGTTAACCTAAGTTTTGTATGAAATATTTCTTATGGGAATTAATTAGGGTGTGATTGGATGCTGCTTCTGGACCTGAAGGGTTTTTAACAACGTCAACGTGCCTAATTAATATTCATGGTTTAAACCAGAGATTGTTAAACCTTTACTACCCCAGTAAATTATAAACTTGCTAAATTTAATAATAGTATGTATTTTCCCCATGTGCGCCTTCTGTCAACAGTTTGAGGAAACAATTATTTATTTGTTTTGGACTTGTTATTGCAAAGTACTATTTTGGGTTTACTTTTCAAATTTATTTATATTTAAGTATTTATCTTCATCTTTTTGGTGACTCTGAGATCAGGCCTAAATGTATGACCCCAAAACACTTTCGAAATGATTCTCAGGCACTGTTAATAAAGAGTTAGAGAAACAGGAGGTGTTCTTTTGCAGAAGGTGTTCTTTTGCAGAAGGTGTTTGCAACACATGACATGGTTTGGTTTCTAGCACATGCACAGCACACCTACTTTCACAGTTTGCTCAAAGCTTTATTCATAGTCTAACCAGTTATTCATTCTTTCAAAAAAGAGAAGTTTATCCAAGCTCGTAAAATATCAAAAGAAGCCTTTATCACAATAATTTCATGGTGAATAAAAATGTGGGATTTATTTATTTTATCCTGTTAGACGTAATTTCGAACTCAAGTCCAACAAATAAGCAAGATAACTGCGATAATAATTTTCACCTACAGTTTATGGTTAAACTGAATGTAAACAGTGCAGTTTCCATTAACAGACCAGTAGGTGTCGCTAAAGGACAAGAAACTGGCTTTCAGTAGGCAAAACATCGAACATTTAATTAAATTAAGAGACTGAGCTTCTCTGATTAAATCATGCAGTTAGCTTTAAACATTACAATTGCTATTCCTGCATATTAGAGTTTGCATTCTATAGGAATGTGTTTGCCATACTTGAAATTGGAAAGGCCTATTATAGTTATACTTTTTTTTGTAAAGCAAATGGCATGAAATGTTTATTATCATATTAATAATACTAATTATCAGCATGCATATTATAATGCATATATCACAGCAGCATGTACAGTATGCAATTACCCTGCAGTTAAAGATCTGTGCTGCTTACACACGTTGCAGGTTCATTTCTTTGCACAGATGATCCATTAATTTGAGTTAACAAGAATCACTCCATATTGTACCAATTTCCCTTAAACCCTCAGCTTAGTAACATCATAGCAATCGCTTGAGGGCAGATTTTACTGCATTTCCTTTTAGCATCAGCTGTAAAACAGTAACAGGAGATAATAATCAGAGCTATTTTTGTCAAGGAAACCAAATCAGTGCTTAAACTTAAAACATGCTGCTGAAAAAAACCCTCATGCTTAAATCCAAGCTTTAGAAACACAGTTTATTGCACTTAAAAAAAAAAAAGAAAAAAAAAAAGACAACACCATGTCATAATTTTTTTTTAAGTACAAATCTCATTTCAGTGTTATTTCTTACTTTAAAACTGGTCATTGCAGAATTGTACACTGGGAGAAAGTACCTGGAATTTGATTGTGAGCAACTGCAGTTAAAATACAGATAGAAAACAACTGCATAGTTTGAATGCGTTACATGGTTGCACTAATATGGTTACTTGTAGATCTGATTAATTTTCTTTCTTTGTGATCGTTTTATTTTCCAGTTCTACAACACATATGCCGTCATTTCACTCAGGACCAAGAACATGCCATTGTCCATGAACCTGTCAAATATCCTCAATAACACAGAGCGACGCACACAGTGTAGTTTAACTTTGTAACTACCTGTCAGAATCAACCGCAGATTTATTGCAAGTTAAAATAATTAAAAAGAAATAATAAAACACAGTACTTCAGTGTGCTGCGAGTCACACGTAAATACATTTTCCTTAAAGGTGATTTAGCCTACTTAGTGTAACGCAAGAGGCGAAAAAAGAGAGATTTTAAATAAATACACAGCAAATAAAACATGATGGCTTGCCTATTTGTGATTGGCCGCTTCTCTATTCAGCATTAAAAAGCAATCGCATTACATTTCAGTTGCATATCTTAGAAAAAACAGATTTGCGTTGCAACAAGAATGTTCTTTGCGTTTATCTTGAGGGGAGAAACGAGCAAAGAGCTGCTGATCATAAATGAATAAATATGAAAAGAATATTTACAGAAACCATACGAAAGTATTTACAGTATGTCGACAGGCGTCACTCATCTACCAGCTAAAGTACCGCCATTACAGCTGCATGCCATTCTAAACAACTCGACGTTACCCACAATTCACAGTTCCAAACCCTTATGCTCAATGCAACCATCCTCATGTCAGTACAACAACCCCACAATTCAAATCTATTGAGTTCTACACGGTCTCAGCAGTGATTATAATATTTATTCGGGTATCTCAAACCATCACAGTAACTGAGCTAAGATCGGTTTCTAATGTGTAACACCTCACAGCCATGTTCATGGCTTTCTGTGGATCTTATAATGGTAAAGTAGTAGAGACAGAATTGAGCTCCCTCTTCTCATCTCAATATATAACAATGGCTATTTTGCATATTGGCAACTTTGTGTGTGTGTGACTGTGTGTGTGTCAGAATTTGTCTCAAAAAAGCTAAAACAACTGAAAAAGATCAAATGTTTGAAATTCAAGCATTTAAAAAGCTTTGAGGAGACATCTCTTGAAGAATTTTCATGAGTGTTAAAAGGAATAGTTCACATAACATGTCATAATTCACTCATTGTCGAGTCTTTCCAAACTTTTATGGTGTTATTGTTGCCGTAGGATACAAAAAGAGACGTTTAGCGGACATTTTCCCCATGCAATAAAAGTAAAAGTATCGTATATGGAAAAGAGCAGCATGAACATTCAGCTAAACGTCTCAGTTGTGTTTGGAAAGACATGATGGTTATTTTTCAGTGTACTATCCCTTTAAATTCTATAGGTACAAAGCCTGCTCATCCCCTTTGATACAAAAAAAAAAATACATTAATAAAAATACATTTTATACATAATAAAACAGTACAAAATTCTTTTTTTCTTCCTTTGTATTGGCACACAAAGTTTGACTATACAGTCATCTCTGCTTTAAACAAAAACAATGCTATATATATATCAGTAGTAATTTTGAATACTAGAAGAGTAGAATAACTGTATCAAATGAAATCAACATTCTGTACGATTCTCCAATTGTGTATGAGTTCATATCAAAAGGAAGAATGTTTAGTTTCAATTATTTCAGTCCGAACGTTTTTTTTCCCCTCGCCCAATCTGTCATGTGACTAGTGTTCAACCAATCACATTCTTATTCCAGTTGATCCAGGTTGATACAAAAGAAACAAACAAGCAAAGTGGGACAAAAAGCTATTTCCTAGCAGTAAAAGGCATAAAATACCACGTTCAGATACAGACCCTGGATATCTATTGGAAGACATTAACCGGAACGTCCGTTCATCAGAAGAGGGCAGTAAAACAGCTGCGATCGCAGGCGTCAGACGCCTCCTACTGGACAATCACATCTCACACATCTGAGCTTGTGGACGGGGTCGCAGGGTTCATGAAGAACACCGGAGCTGATGGAGCTTGATGCTTTGGGGGGTTTGAAGGGGGATGGGAGAGGAGAGAAATGAGGGATTGTGGGAGGAGGAGGAGGAGGATGAATGACAGATCTGGAGCATCTGCTAAAAGCTTTAGGAGAAAGACGGTGGTGCATCGAGGTCAAGAAAAACAGATCAATCCGCACAGCTTCGGAAATAAAAAGGCTGGACATAATGATCAGCACAACTGAACGTAGTGAAGAAGTGAACTGATGCAGAAAAGATGCATCTCGACTTCCTGTTTTTAGATCATCTGCGATGAAAGCAGTGGAAAACATGCGAGGATAATTACAGAGGGCGATGCTGTGACACGGAGACCATTTGAAAACCCAATAAGTTGCTTAAAACAGGATGAATTAGACCGCTGGATGCTCTGTTGTCATCCCATGTGGATCAATATTGTTTGGGTTATGCCACAGATTACCCGAGGCATAAACCGCATTGGTTTCCTGGTTGGGGAAATGATATCTCTTTCACTGCTTGCACACTTGGCTGGATGGGAATCTCTAGAGGTTCTCGCCGGGCTGGTACTGTGGTTCAGTGGAGGTGAAGTAGTCTTCCAGGAAGCTCTGGAGGTACTCGAAGGTCGGCCTCTCTTCGGGCTCCTTGCGCCAGCAGGTCAGCATGAGCTCGTGAAGGGAGTCCGGGCACTCGGCGGGACAGGGCATCCTGTACCCGCGCTCCACCTGGTCCAGCACCTCCCGGTTCACCATACCTGAGCAGAAGACAGATGTGAAACAGGGTGGATGTGGGTCAGGTGTCAGAATGGGGCTTTTTAACCAGGCAAAGGATGTGGGTCGTCATCAGGGGGGAACAAAAGGAAATTATGTCATGTCCACGGAAAGGGGCTCTTAAAATGTGACATTTAATGTGTGTCCAATCTCAGTCCTGGAAGGCCACTGTCCTACAACGTTTGGCTCCAACTTTGCCTCAATAAACCTGCCTGGAAGTTTCTAGTAAGAGCTTAATTAGCTGGTTCAGTTTTATTGGGGTTGGAGCTAAACTCTGCTGCGCTGTGTTTCCCAAAAGCATCGTGAGCCTAAGTTGATCCTAAGAGACCATTGGTTACACGACAATGATATACTTAAAAGATCAAAGTTTTTTCTTTGAGTTTTCTACGTACAGACGACACCATTGTCAAAACGATCCACGGAAACCCTGTATTCTGCTGCCAGGCCTTTAGATGGCGATGAAACGCTATATATTGAACACGTAATGCGGAGGTGCATGACGTCATCGTCTTCAGAGATTAGCGTTTTTGTTGTTTACACGGAGACCATTTTCAAAAACTTGCACTTTGAAACCCGTTTTCAAAACTTTGCATTCTCAGTCACTCAAAATGCTGTTGTCGTGTAAACAAATGGCCAAAACACATAAAAAGTTTTACGTTTTTCAATTTCGTCTAAACAGCCCCTTAGGCTTACGATGCTTCTGAGAGACGCAGCCCTGGACAGTGGCCCTCAGGGAGCAGGATTGAACATCCCTGATCTAAGTTTTAGAATTTTTGTATTTGTTTGGATGCCGAATAATGAGAATAATTTTGAGTGATAATAATTCTTATTTAATAATCATTATAAAATGAAATGATAAAATACAGGGTCTAAAATTAACCCCAAATGCGAGTAAAAATTGGCGTTGGCGTGTATATTAAACGGTGTCACTCGCCGGTTGACTGGTAACATTTTATGAATTCTAACAATGCATGAACGAGAATAAACGTGAATGACACTCGAGACAGTTGATGGGCCAGTGTTTCATCGTCATGAAAGTTTAAGCCAGTGTTTCTCAACCTCTCCTGCAGGGACCCCCTGACAGGCCATGTTTCTGTTTTAACCCTGAAATGGCACACCTGATTCAAGTCATTAAAGGCTTAATGAGTAGTTGACTAATTGATTAATTGAACTATTCCTACTCTAATTACTCATTAAGCCTTTAATTACTTGAATCAGGTGTGCCATTTCAGAGTTAAAACAAAAACATGGCCTGTCAGGGGGTCCCTGCAGGAGAGGTTGAGAAACACTGGTTTAAGCCCTAACTTAAAGCTGCAGTCCGTAGTTTTTCCTCTTTGTCGCCATCTCTGTTCGAAATCTGCAAGTGCAGTCACTATCAACTTTACGTGAGTTGTGCCTCGGCACGGCACAGCGCGGATGAACACAATGTTTGAGGAGAGTGTGTGTCTGTCAGTCACCGCGCCGGTGTGGATACTGGCATTCAGAATCACAGATTATTCTTTTTGAAAGTATGACCATCCACTTTTGTTCTGACCAACTACTGGAAAAAACATTGAATGCCCTTATTATTTATTTATCCTTGTTTTCGCATGGGTCCGGTTGCAGTCTCTTTTTTTCTGTAGCCACTCCGAAGTCCGAAGTCTTTTGCATTTTACAACGGGTGAATCTGTTGTCACTGGTGATTGTCGTTTGAACCTTTCTGGATCCGCCATCAAATTGAACAGATAAGTTTAATTATATCAAGTTCTGTGAGAAAAGGCTATAAATCTCCACCTCCAGCATCCTCACACGCAATATAGCCGACTAGCCGAGACTCTTCTTTATGTGTACAGATGTGACGTAATGACTCAATATAGCCTACTAGCCGAGACTCTTCTTTATGTGTACAGATGTGACGTAATGACTCAATATAGTCTACTAGCCGAGACTCTTCTTTATGTGTACAGATGTGACGTAATGACTCAATATAGCCTACTAGCCGAGACACTTCTTTATGTGTACAGATGTGGCGTAATGACTCAATATAGCCTACTAGCCGAGACTCTTCTTTATGTGTACAGATGTGACGTAATGACTCAATATAGCCTACTAGCCGAGACTCTTCTTTATGTGTACAGATGTGACGTAATGACTCAATATAGCCGACTAGCCGAGACTCGTCTTTATGTGTACAGATGTGACGTAATGACTCAATAAAGCCGACTAGCCGAGACTCTTCTTTATGTGTACAGATGTGACGTAATGACTCAATATAGTCTACTAGCCGAGACTCTTCTTTATGTGTACAGATGTGACGTAATGACTCAATATAGCCGACTAGCCGAGACTCTTCTTTATGTGTACAGATGTGACGTTATGACTCAATATAGCCGACTAGCCGAGACTCTTCTTTATGTGTACAGATGTGACGTAATGACTCAATATAGCCGACTAGCCGAGACTCTTCTTTATGTGTACAGATGTGACGTAATGACTCAATATAGTCTACTAGCCGAGACTCTTCTTTATGTGTACAGATGTGACGTAATGACTCAATATAGTCTACTAGCCGAGACTCTTCTTTATGTGTACAGATGTGACGTAATGACTCAATATAGCCCACTAGCCGAGACTCTTCTTTATGTGTACAGATGTGACGTAATGACTCAATATAGCCTACTAGCCGAGACTCTTCTTTATGTGTACAGATGTGACGTAATGACTCAATATAGCCGACTAGCCGAGACTCTTCTTTATGTGTACAGATGTGACGTAATGACTCAATATAGCCGACTAGCCGAGACTCTTCTTTATGTGTACAGATGTGACGTAATGACTCAATATAGTCTACTAGCCGAGACTCTTCTTTATGTGTACAGATGTGACGTAATGACTCAATATAGCCGACTAGCCGAGACTCTTCTTTATGTGTACAGATGTGACGTAATGACTCAATATAGCCGACTAGCCGAGACTCTTCTTTATGTGTACAGATGTGACGTAATGACTCAATATAGCTTATACTAGCCGAGACTCTTCTTTATGTGTACAGATGTGACGTAATGACTCAATATAGTCTACTAGCCGAGACTCTTCTTTATGTGTACAGATGTGACGTAATGACTCAATATAGTCTACTAGCCGAGACTCTTCTTTATGTGTACAGATGTGACGTAATGACTCAATATAGCCCACTAGCCGAGACTCTTCTTTATGTGTACAGATGTGACGTAATGACTCAATATAGCCTACTAGCCGAGACTCTTCTTTATGTGTACAGATGTGACGTAATGACTCAATATAGCCGACTAGCCGAGACTCTTCTTTATGTGTACAGATGTGACGTAATGACTCAATATAGCCGACTAGCCGAGACTCTTCTTTATGTGTACAGATGTGACGTAATGACTCAATATAGTCTACTAGCCGAGACTCTTCTTTATGTGTACAGATGTGACGTAATGACTCAATATAGCCGACTAGCCGAGACTCTTCTTTATGTGTACAGATGTGACGTAATGACTCAATATAGCCGACTAGCCGAGACTCTTCTTTATGTGTACAGATGTGACGTAATGACTCAATATAGCTTATACTAGCCGAGACTCTTCTTTATGTGTACAGATGTGACGTAATGACTCAATATAGCCTACTAGCCGAGACTCTTCTTTATGTGTACAGATGTGACGTAATGACTCAATATAGCCTACTAGCCGAGACTCTTCTTTATGTGTACAGATGTGACGTAATGACTCAATATAGCCGACTAGCCGAGACTCTTCTTTATGTGTACAGATGTGACGTAATGACTCAATATAGCAGACTAGCCGAGACTCTTCTTTATGTGTACAGATGTGACGTAATGACTCAATATAGCCTACTAGCCGAGACTCTTCTTTATGTGTACAGATGTGACGTAATGACTCAATATAGCCTACTAGCCGAGACTCTTCTTTATGTGTACAGATGTGACGTAATGACTCAATATAGCCTACTAGCCGAGACTCTTCTTTATGTGTACAGATGTGACGTAATGACTCAATATAGCCGACTAGCCGAGACTCTTCTTTATGTGTACAGATGTGACGTAATGACTCAATATAGCAGACTAGCCGAGACTCTTCTTTATGTGTACAGATGTGACGTAATGACTCAATATAGTCTACTAGCCGAGACTCTTCTTTATGTGTACAGATGTGACGTAATGACTCAATATAGTCTACTAGCCGAGACTCTTCTTTATGTGTACAGATGTGACGTAATGACTCAATATAGCCGACTAGCCGAGACTCTTCTTTATGTGTACAGATGTGACGTAATGACTCAATATAGCCTACTAGCCGAGACTCTTCTTTATGTGTACAGATGTGACGTAATGACTCAATATAGCCGACTAGCCGAGACTCTTCTTTATGTGTACAGATGTGACGTAATGACTCAATATAGCCTACTAGCCGAGACTCTTCTTTATGTGTACAGATGTGACGTAATGACTCAATATAGCCGACTAGCCGAGACTCTTCTTTATGTGTTCAGATGTGACGTAATGACTCAATATAGCCGACTAGCCGAGACTCTTCTTTATGTGTACAGATGTGACGTAATGACTCAATATAGCCGACTAGCCGAGACTCTTCTTTATGTGTACAGATGTGACGTTATGACTCAATATAGCCGACTAGCCGAGACTCTTCTTTATGTGTACAGATGTGACGTTATGACTCAATATAGCCGACTAGCCGAGACTCTTCTTTATGTGTACAGATGTGGCGTAATGACTCAATATAGCCGACTAGCCGAGACTCTTCTTTATGTGTACAGATGTGACGTAATGACTCAATATAGCCTACTAGCCGAGACTCTTCTTTATGTGTACAGATGTGACGTTATGACTCAATATAGCCGACTAGCCGAGACTCTTCTTTATGTGTACAGATGTGACGTTATGACTCAATATAGCCGACTAGCCGAGACTCTTCTTTATGTGTACAGATGTGACGTAATGACTCAATATAGCCGACTAGCCGAGACTCTTCTTTATGTGTACAGATGTGACGTAATGACTCAATATACTCTACTAGCCGAGACTCTTCTTTATGTGTACAGATGTGACGTTATGACTCAATATAGCTGACTAGCCGAGACTCTTCTTTATGTGTACAGATGTGACGTAATGACTCAATATAGTCTACTAGCCGAGACTCTACTTTATGTGTACAGATGTGACGTAATGACTCAATATAGCCTACTAGCCGAGACTCTTCTTTATGTGTACAGATGTGACGTTATGACTCAATATAGCTGACTAGCCGAGACTCTTCTTTATGTGTACAGATGTGACGTAATGACTCAATATAGTCTACTAGCCGAGACTCTTCTTTATGTGTACAGATGTGACGTAATGACTCAATATAGCCGAGACTCTTCTTTATGTGTACAGATGTGACGTTATGACTCAATATAGCCGACTAGCCGAGACTCTTCTTTATGTGTACAGATGTGACGTTATGACTCAATATAGCTGACTAGCCGAGACTCTTCTTTATGTGTACAGATGTGACGTAATGACTCAATATAGCTGACTAGCCGAGACTCTTCTTTATGTGTACAGATGTGACGTAATGACTCAATATAGTCTACTAGCTGAGACTCTTTTTTATGTGTACAGATGTGACGTAATGACTCAATATAGCCCACTAGCCGAGACTCTTCTTTATGTGTACAGATGTGACGTAATGACTCAATATAGCCCACTAGCCGAGACTCTTCTTTATATGTACAGATGTGACGTAATGACTCAATATAGCCTACTAGCCGAGACTCTTCTTTATGTGTACAGATGTGACGTAATGACTCAATATAGCCGACTAGCCGAGACTCTTCTTTATGTGTACAGATGTGACGTAATGACTCAATATAGCCGACTAGCCGAGACTCTTCTTTATGTGTACAGATGTGACGTAATGACTCAATATAGCCGACTAGCCGAGACTCTTCTTTATGTGTACAGATGTGACGTAATGACTCAATATAGTCTACTAGCCGAGACTCTTCTTTATGTGTACAGATGTGACGTAATGACTCAATATAGTCTACTAGCCGAGACTCTTCTTTATGTGTACAGATGTGACGTAATGACTCAATATAGCCGACTAGCCGAGACTCTTCTTGATGTACAGATGTGACGTTTCTATCTATCTAAAAATATTTTATTAGTTTTGTAGATGATGAAACCCAGCATCGGACTCAATACTTTAAAACATTTATTCCATTTTGAAAAAATATATAATCTATAAGTCATTTTAAAAAATGTACATTTGAATCTAGAGAACCAGTGACTCAATAACTGGTACAACAATAATGACTCTTGGAGTAATACTGGAATGACTGGAAACATGGAGAGCGGTAGTACCTGGATAAGGCACCCTGCCTTTGGTCGTCAGCTCCGTCAGTAAGACGCCAAACGACCACACGTCAGATTTAATGGTGAAGCGCCCGTACAGAGCCGCCTCTGGCGCAGTCCACTTGATGGGAAACTTTGCTCCTGTTGTAATAATGATTTAAGAGAGCCCTGTCACCATGATTAAACCCATTCAATTAAGGTCGAACTGTATAAAAGGCAACAGTATTAACTCTTGAAAATGAGACAATGACGTCACGGCCTCAGGAAAACTGAAGACGTGAAGAAAATGGAAAACGACCACATGCAGCAAAAAGAGTTGTTGTGTCCCTCCTCACCCTGTCTGGCTGTGTATTCGTTGTCCTCGATGAGTCGAGCAAGGCCGAAGTCAGCGACTTTACACACCAGGTTCTCACCCACCAGGATGTTGGCAGCCCTGAGGTCCCTGTGCACATAGTTCATTCTTTCCACGTACGCCATTCCAGAGGCGATCTGAGGACAACACATACATTATAACACTGCCGGGCTCAGTGCCACCCTCCAGAGTATCCACAGAATATAAATAGATTTATATACAATATGAAGACAATGACAGTGGCGTTTGCCCATGCAAAAACTGCACAACAATGGTGTTTTTTATTTTTAGTGAGATGCTCTTTAATATATTCAGGTCTCTAAATATGGTTTGTCCTTCAATGCAGGGTTAGTTTTCAATTTGGAGTTTTGTTTATTTTGTCCTTTCAGTTTATTTTTTTGTTCCATGACGGTTTTTTTAATTCACTTCTTTTTTTTTATTACAAATTTAGTTTTTTCAGGACCACCTAGTGTTATATAGTGGGGTTTTCATGTTTAATTAACGCAGGTTGTAAGATTGGAAAACTTTACAATTAATATCTCGATCAAAACTAAAATTAGTTTGTGACTATTACGGTTTTATTTTTTGCAATCATGAAAATGTGTTTAAGTTTAGCTACAGCTCCAATATAATTTAATTCTATTAGATTTTGAATATATATTATATTAGTATGTTTTTTAAAACTAATTAATACTTTTGTGCATTCAATTATACTGTTCTTTTGAACTTTCTGTTCATCAACGAATCTTAAAAAAATATATATCATAGTTTCCACAAAAATATGAAGCAGCACAACTGTTTTCAACATTGAAAATAATCAGAAATGTTTCTTGAGCAGCAAATCATCATATTAGAATGATTTCTGAAGGATCATGTGACACTGAAGACTGGAGTAATGATGCTGAAAATTCAGCTTTGCATCACAGAAATAAATTACATTTTAATATATATTAAAATAGAAAACAGTTATATTGAATTGTAATAATATTTCACAATTTCACTGTTTTTACTGTATTTTTGATCAAATAAATGCAGCCTTCGTGAGAAGAGACTTCTTTAAAAAACATAAAAAAAATCGTACACACCCCAAACTTGTGATCCGTTGTGTATATTGTCTAATACAATGTTTTTAGTATCAAATGTTTTTGTTTTTGATTTCATTACTAGATGATATATGACAATGCCAGTGTAAAAGTACCTGAGACGCCATATCCACAAGCTGAGGCAACCGCAGCATTTTCCCCATGTCACCCTTCAGGAAATCTAACAGGCTTCCTGTGAAAGCAGAAATCACACCTTGACATCTTCATTCACACTTTTATCGGGAGACCTCACAAGAAAGCTGCTAATATCCAGATTTGATGCTCTAGTTACACATCCTTCTGTCAGTTCTTATTTCTTAGGCTTCTTTATCCCAATATAGTTCACTGAATGTCCGCACTGACCTTGTCCCATGTACTCAGTGACGATGTAAATGGGCTCCTCGGAGACGACAGCGTACAGCTGCACCAGCTTCTCGTGGCGGAGTTTCTTCATCACCTGCGCTTCCTGCAGGAAGGCCTCGGGAGACATCGTGCCCGGCTTCAGGGTCTTGATGGCCACGCGTGTCGTGCCATTCCAGGTGCCTGATGAGGGGGGAAAGGACACTCAATCATGAAACAAGCTTTGTCTGTTATGTGAATGCATCATTACACAAGCACACTGGTATTATACTACTTATTTAACTCACAAAGCTCCATTTTTTGGGGAAGGAAGTTGAAAGAAGAAGTCTTACCCATCCAGACCTCTCCGAAACAGCCCTGGCCCAGTTTGACGTCCAGTCTCAGAGAGTCACGTGGGATCTCCCAGGCGTCCCGTGCCAGACCCTGAGTCTGAGGCTTCAGGACTGGACACACGTCAGTCAGACAGTGACACAGGCCGTCTGCGTGCTCTGTGACACACACGCCGACAGGAGGAAGTGTGTTAATGTTTCTCACAATATTTTCAAATCTGTTTTTAGAAAATTGCTAGTTCTGGTTCGTTCTGATTCCATACTAAGCTGCTATGCTGATTGCCAACTATATTTGATATAACCTATAAATATATATATATATATATATATATATATATATATATATATATATATATATATATATACACACAACCATAATTATTATATTATATTATTTTCTATAGTAATAATAAAATAATTATACTAATTATATAAATTTAATATTAATAATAATATATATAACCATAGTTATTATTTTCTAAAGCAATAATAAATATTCAAATAAAAGTATAATTAATATTTTCAGTAATACTAATATTTTATATATTAATTAATATATATATATATATATATATATATATATATATATATATATATATATATTTACATATAACTATATATATATATATATATATATATATATATATATATATATATATATATATATAACTTAATTCTATAGTAATAATAATACAATTAATAAATCACTAAAATGTGCATTAATATTAATATGAATATAATAAAATTTTAATAATAACTGAATAATAAAACAACTAAAATAAAAAATAAAAATGGATTATTATTTTCAATCACTTAAAATAAAAACATACATTATTACTATTAGGATTATTGTTGATAATAACAATAACATATTTGTTTTATTTTTAATAATAATCATCAAAATAAAATAAATAACACTTATATAACTCATAAATAACGTAATAAATATGAATTTCTTTAGTTAATCTTCATATTAGGCCCATTTTAACACTCTTTTTCGGGTTTTTAACACCTAGAGCAGTTCAGGGTCTCTCGTGGCTTACTGCTTTAATCACAATCATTAGAAGTGAAGGATCATTCATTATGCAATTGCTTTATGCCATTTCTCTATTTATAGGTTTTAACTAATCCTTATTTTGCAACAACCTTAGTTCCCACTTCCAGAAATAAGAGTGTGTATCACTTCCCTCCACAGACATTCAGAAACAAGCAGGTGTCTATGAGAAAGAGACTCACGGCGGTAGTGGTTGACCAGCTGCTGTAAAGTACTAAACTGAGTGCGTGATGTGATGTAAAACCCCCCGCTGTCCAGCTTCCTGATCTTGTAATGTTTGACATTTAGGCCCTTGACATTGTCGTAATCCAGGACGGAAAGACAGTAGGCACCTAAAAAACACAAAGAATGGATTTGAGGGATGAAGTCTGAGTCGTGAAGTGCTCTCGGTGACATGGAGATTCGAAACTGTCAGATTCTACACTTTTGTAGCATTTTATTTTTCTCTGAAGTCTACTTTCTTTACTTAGAGTCGACTTTAGTTTCTAGCATCAAAAACAACTGTAAATAAGTTTTACATAGCAGATGCTTTAATCCATTTTTTAATCCTGTTAAACCTGTACTTTTAATCCTGACTGTACCTTTAAGACTTCTTTTTGGTGCCAGTTACTGGAGTGTGAAATAGCATGAAGAGTTTCCCTACAAATCCTCCCATTTCAACTTAAATTCAGTTGCTGCCTTACATTAAGTATAATAAACTTATTTCAACTTAAATTATATTAAACTGACTTAAAATTGGGTTGAATCTAGTATAACTTATAAAAAAGTTGAAATTACTTAAACTCAAAATAAGTTAAACAACTTAAAAACATAAGTTGCCATGACTTACTAATTATTAAAAATCTATTTTGTTTTTAAATATTTTTAATGAACTTTCAGACAAAAATTTTTGGTTTAGTATCATATATAATACATAGTTTTTTTGGGGCTCATATAGTATAATATAGTGAGAATATGGAGAGAGACTTATTCAGAGGACTAAACTGAAATTCTTATAGCTTGTAATGTAAATAAATGAGCTCTTAAAATGCATATAAATATCAGTTGTCACTGTACATCTCCCGATATTATATTTGATACACTAACATGATTTGTAAAAAAAAAAAAAAAAAAAGGAGGAATTATGGATAATCAAGTCACCCAAATATGGTTCAGTCCAAAATGTGTTCATCTTAAAATATTAATAACAACATAAAAGTCACGACCTGAAGGGAATGTTTTTACAATTATACTAAAAGGCCTTTTTCTTTAACCAAACAGTTGATGGACCCCATTGACTTTAGATTAGTGTCCAGTTCTCACTATTAACTAACTATTAACTACGACTTTGCTTCAGTAATCTCCTAATTACTGTTTATTAATAGTTAGTAAGGTGGTTAGAGTTAAGTTTAGGTATTGGGTAGAATTAAGGGATGTAGAATATGATCATGCAGAATAAGGCATTAATATGTGCTTTATAAGTACTAATAAACAGCCAATGTCATAGTAATATGCATGCTAATAAGCAACTATAGTTAAAAGTGAGAATTGGACCCTGAACTAAAGTGCTACCCAAAAAACCACTATGGAAGTCAATGGGGTCCATCAACTGTTTGGTTACCCATATTCTATAACAATATCTTCTTTCGTGCTCAACAGAAGACAGAAACTCGTACAGGTTTATGACAGTAAATGACAGAATTTTCATTTTTGGGTGAACTGTTTTTTTTTTGTGTGTGTAAAATGATCTGTAGGGGGCGCTGTCATCATTGCACACATGGCTCATTTATTCATTCCCCCTCTGTCACTTGCTCCCTCATTCCCTCTGCGGTCTCTCTTTGGGGTTTGACTCATCCTTCAGCGTCTCTCGTACTTGTTTTCTCTCGGTCTCTCCGTGCCCCTCGCTGACGCTGTGAGCTGTGAGATATGGCTCACGGTTATAGGCACAGCTATGGGTTGACCTACTTCTTGCTCTTCATCCCTGCAAGCACTTCTCTGACCTTCACATTCCCTTCTTCATCAGGCTCAAACATGCACATACAAGCACTCCATCATCTCAAATGAATATTGTTTGTGTGGAAGTGAAGGTAAAAGGCCATATATGGAGCGTAGATCTTTAAAATGTTTAGAGAGGGAGAAAAGATGGTTGGCAGAGGGAGGAGAGGAGGAATATGAGCATGACTGCGTCTGACAAACTGACACCAGAAAAGGGGAATTCAACTGAACAAGCATGTTGTTCTGATCTGCACTACCAAATACTGAAACGCAACTTATTTTCACGCATGAGTAATTTCCTCCACACGTTGTTTCTTTATTATGCAATAGTTAGCTCCAGTCTCTGAATGTGATTGGCTGTGCGGCGTTCAAACAGCACTGGGACATTTCACTGTTAGTTGTTTGGGAGATGCTTTTATAAATGCCTAAATTAATAACACTCCTAAATTCTTGTTGTGTCATCGACACATGTTGCTTCCATAGACTGTAAAAAAAGATGGACGATGCCCCTTCGCTCTCTTCCATTGGTCAGAAGTGAAGCCGCCAGTGTCTGGATATGGCGCTGACATCTTAAAACTTGAGTCTGCGCAGAAGCGATCTCGGGACCAGACATGCGCAGTCGTGAGCCGGAAGTAAAGCCGCGAAATCAAGGCCCCGCCCTCACTCTCGCAGAATCAATCGCAAGAACACGCTCCGGCACTTTTTTTTATTAATTATAGAAATTTAGATATTAAATTTAAAGCTCCAATCTCCTCAGTCCTCCGAAGATTCCCGAAAAAAAAGTCTGTTGGTGCTGCAGTGACTGTCAATCACAGCTGTCAATCATGACGTCACCCCCACCGCATCAAACAACTAACTGAAAACAAACTTATTTTAAAAACAAACACTTGAAATTACATCAGCGTGATAAAAACTACAGTAAATGACAGAAACCATATTTGGAAAAAACATATTTGAAGAGTAATTTAATTGTTTAGTTGGTCTCACCCGTTGAATAACATGGGGAGGCGGGGTTTATGACCTATACTAGGACCGGCCACCGGGGGGCGATCGAGACGTTTTGGCTTCACTTTTCAGGGCTTGTGCGGCACGCTTGGTTGCTTCCAAGGGGGTAATCCATCGACCAGAGGTTGAAGCCGGCCGGGTGCCGCCATCTTGTAGCAGAACTTCACTTGCGTTAGCATTTCCATTGACTCCCATTCATTTTGGCGTCACTTTGACAGCGAATAACTTTACATCTGAGGCATTTAAAGACTCCATTTGTCCATTATTTATTTCTAAAGAAACACGACAATGTATAAAGGGCTCCATTACCTTCTATGTTACATTATGGCCCCGTAGAAACAGATTTTGTAAAAATAGGCTAACGATTGCGTCATAACCACTCGACTCTCTGTCGCGCTGTACAGAAATTAGCGTACAGACAGGAGGAGAAGCTCGCAGGCAATCGGGGGGACGTCCCGTCAAGAGAGACGCCCCATAGATAATGAGTCCATAAAAGCAACGGAATACTTACTCCTGCTCACTCACGCCAAAGAACTCTTTGCTCAAGTTCCCCGTCTCTGCAAGATTAACGTTGGCAATTTTCACGCACAGCTACTAGAAGATTAACGTCTGTCAGACAGGTTGCTCACGTCATCAAGCTTAGTTTGAGTCGGTTTGAGTCTGCGCGTCAGGAACGGAAGTGCTCAAAAATCGCTAAAAATGGGCTTCAACTGTCTCAACTGAGTTCCAATGAGATGGCTCTGCCCACTTCTTATACTGTCTATGGTTGCTTCCCGACAAATTATCGCTTGCCGTCTATGACGCGCGTGATGTCATCGAGAAGGCGGCACTATCGACTGATAGATTTTGTGAGCGTGAACAATGCATGGCTACCGAAGCGGTGAGTTTTACACTGGATGCCTTGTCATCAGAAAATCCCCCAAAATAAAGAAAACCTGACAGTGGACATATTCCTAGATTGCACAAAGAGGACTGTATGGATTCCTCCAGAGAACTTGAGGTAAAGTATTGTTTTTTATTTTTAGCCAGTAGTAAAAATAAATGTAGCCTTACTCAACGGGTTCCTGAAGAGCCTGCACTATCGTTTTTCACTTTGTCATTGTAGTCCCTCGAGGGAAACATCATAAAGGCTGGAGCACTGCCATAGCTCCACGCATCTTTCCTCCAATACAATATTATACCTATACTTTCATTAAGGTATGTTTGAAAGCTGTGTATGGAAGAGCTGCAGTGCTCCTATTGGTCAATGTCACAGATGTGACGGAACCCGTCGTGGAAGACCGGGAAAAAATGAAACATGCCAGTCTTTCTGTCGTGAAGCAGACGCGGCGTCGGTTGTCATCAACTATGACACACTACTATACGAGATAAAACGATCGATTCTTGCATCCCGACACACATTGTCGTTTACGAATCCCCACGACACCATACGTCAAACGGATCGTGCTAAAATCGTGTAGTCTGAACCGGGCATAAAAACAACTACTTTTTATCAGTTCCTCCATTCCCTGGCCGTGGGATGTCGAACTCGTGACCTTGTGATTCCCTTGATTTCATTCTGACACAATTTTCCATTTATCCTTACAGTTTGACCTATGAATCAATACTGTGTGACCAGACGTATGGTAAAAATGGTACTATATATTCAACTGTAAACATAATTAAAAATGACAATTTAAGTAAACTAAAATTTTTTAATTAAATATATATATATTTTTTATAATAAAATGATACATTTATGTTATTAACAAACAAAATACATAAGTTATAAATAACTTAATAATAATAATAATAATACTATTTTCTATAGTAACAATTAGTAACAATACATTTATTTTATTTTAAATAATACAATAATAATAAATTAAATAAAACAAATACAAAATATAAAATACATTAAATAAAAAAAAAAAAAAAAAAAAAAATAATAATAATAATAATAATAATTTGCGCTTGTAGTTGGTACGGTTCACAATCACCTTTGGTTGTCTCACTCTCTCTGACCAGGAAAGTTCCTCTCCTGTTCTCCAGACTCAAGAGGAGTCGCTCCGAGTCCCTGCGTGTGATTTTTCCAAAGTACCATCTGGACAGAGAGACGGAGAAAGAGAAAAAGAGAGAGAGGGTATTTAGAGGGAGTAATCACATGTAGCATTATATCAGAGACATGCAGCTGGCCAGAAATATATTATGATATTATTTATGCTAGTATGCAGACAGAAATGCGATTCTATTGTGCATTTATGTACACTACTACCATTCAAAAGTTTGGATTTTTTCAAATGTTTTTGAAAAAAGTATCTTATGCTCACCAAGGCTGCTGCATTTATTTATATAGTAAAAACAGTAATATTGTGAAATATTATTACGGTTTCAAATAGCTGTTTTCTATTTGAATATATTTTAAAATGTAATTTATTCCTGTGATGCAAAGCTGAATTTTCAGCATCATTACTCCAGTCTTCAGTGTCACATGATCCTTCAGAAATCATTCCAATATGATGATTTGCTGCTCAAGAAATATCTCTTATCATTATTGTTGAAAACAGTTGTGCTGCTTCATGTTTTTGTGGAAACAGTCATACATTTCAGTATACTTAGATGAATAGAAAGTGAAAAAATCAGCATATGTTTGAAATAGAAATCATTTCTAACATTATAAATGTCTTTACTGTCACTTTTGATCAATTTAATGCATCCTCGCTGAATAAAAGTATTAATTTCTTTAAAAAACAACAACTTTTGAACGGTAGTGTACGCTTAATCATGGCAACACTGTTCTGAAATCATTTACGTGAACTTTTTTGTAGAGTACGTTTTGGGCCTAAAAGTATAACAGTTCTCATCTGAATTGTACTGCATGAAATATTGAACATTGATTCAGGTTGTAATATTCCCATTCCTGGTTCCAGCAACATTAAAAACAATGGTGTTTGGGATTCATGACTGACCCAGTGACATTTAGTGTCTGTAAATCAGCTAGGTTTGTTGTTCGCCGCTCAAGGCAGGCTCTCTCTCAGTCTTACCTTTTCTCCAGAGTCAATCTGAGATGACTGGCAAGGCAAGGGTGGAAAAATGAGTCATTATAGGTTTTCAAAGGAGTGCCTGTGTGTATTTGTTTAATGCGCCAGTCGACGGAGCAACAGCGCACGCGCGCGTGTGTGTGTGTGTGTGTCTCAGGAAATATTACGAGTTACATATGAACAGGACAGACAATAGATGAGCTGCACGGGGGGCATGTTGACGAATTTTACTCGTTCAAGAGGGAAAAGGTCTTTCGGGCATGAGGGTTTTTCTTTCTAACTGATGAGATGGTGGAGAGACCCATAATGATGGAGGACAAGAGAGCAACCATGAAGGGAAAAATGAAGGACTCAAAAGGTCAGACCGGAAGGAGAGAGAGGGGCGAGTGTGAATCAGTTTGTTGGTAACATCACAAAGGCTGAGCTTCAAGTAAAAAAAAAAAAAAAAAGTGGAACTGAAATATTTCTGTACTAAAATACTCACAGTCTTTGCTAAGTGATGATTCATGAACAAATCGTTCTGTTGAGTCAGATTGTTTCCAACGAGGAACAAATTGCTCTCATGAGCTGCTTCTTTTAAATGAATCAGATCAAGGACTCATAGATCAATCACTGAATCAGTCGGGGAGGTTCGAAAATGAACGTGATTCACTCACATGTAGAGCTATATTGACACTGTTATTGAACTGAATTGAATCAACATTGAACTGACTTGAGCTGACTAATTGAACACATTTTTTAAGTCACATTTATGTGATTAAAGTCGAGTCGATATTTACTAGTCGCTGATGATGTTAATAATGAACCAATAAGCCTGAACCTCGAGCCGAGACTCGAACGCGTGTTTCCTTGTGCACAGCTATGGCATTTGACACACTGCTCCTACATAACAGCTTATTTTTATCCGTTCTTTTGTCTTTGGGTCGTTATATTGGCACAGATTTCTGCTCGTTCTAAATCAGATACAGATAAAGTAGCACAGTAAAGATTACATTTACATGAATGCATTAGTGAGAGAGCGATTGCGTGTGAATTAATTCTACTTGGCAGCGTCTAGATATATGCTACAACTGTTCAGTTTCTAAGTTATTTCTTTGATAAATCACAGAACAGTGTTGACAATACATTTCTGCGCAACTGAATCTGCGAGCTACTGTCTGTATGTGTGCGCTTTACAATGCGGCAGCGCATTAGTTTTACTTACGTCTACAATAAGCGGTTTAAAAAGTGCATTCACCCGATCAATTTCAGCATCCAGATGGTATAATCAAACATATCTTGTGGAGCGCTCTCGGAGCATGCATTCATGTGCCATTTTAACTGTTGAATACAGAGCGTAAAAGTGGAATTTTAAATATTTATTTTCCAGTTGCGCCCTCTATAGGCCATGATCAGCGACTAGTTTACATCAAGCTTAAAACATCCTGGGAGAGCATTAAAGGGTTACTTCACCCAAAAATGAAAATTCTGTCAGTAATGACTCACCCTCATGTTGTTCCAACCCCGTAAGACTTTCGTTCATCTTCGGAGCACGAATTAAGATATTTTTGATTCAATCTGAGAGCTGGATCACTCCTCCATAGGCTTCTTAAGGGATCGAAACTGGCCGGCCCAAAAGTTATGAAAGACATCGTTAAAATAGTCCGAATGACTACAGTGGCTCAATCTTAAGTTTATCAAGCGACGAGAATACTTTTTGTGCGCAAAAAACAAACAAAAATAACGACTTTATTCAACTATTCATTTCCTTCTCTGTGGGCCGTGAGATTTCACGTAGTGATATTGCGCAAAGCTTCTGTGTTGTACGTCACACGCAGGCTCACTATTGGCCGACGCTGGTCATGTGTGTAATGCGTGTGACGTACAACCTAGAAGCTTTGCGCAATATCACTACGTGAAATCTCACGGCCAACAGAGAAGAAAATGAATAGTTGAATAAAGTCGTTATTTTTGTTTGTTTTTTGCGCACAAAAAGTATTCTCGTCGCTTGATAAACTTAAGATTGAGCCACTGTAGTCACTCGGACTATTTTAACGATGTCTTTCATAACTTTTGGGCCGGCCAGTTTCGATCCCTTAAGAAGCCTATGGAGGAGTGAGACAGCTCTCAGATTTAATCAAAAATATCTTAATTTGTGTTCCGAAGATGAACGAAAGTCTTACGGGATTGAACAACATGAGGGTGGGTAATTACTGACAGAATTTTCATTTTGGGGTGAACTAACCGCCCTAAAGCCGACAAGTCTGTGCAACTGATTCTGTTATTTTCCTATTCATCGCTGTGAAGCTGCTTTGAAACCATCTGTATTGAATAAAGCCCTATATAAATTGATTATACACCGAAATTAAACTGATTTGTCCAACTATTGTTTTGTTTAGTAATATAATCCATCATTAATGGAATCGTTAAGGAACCAGAATCATTCCTGACATCACATCGAGGGGAAAAAAAAAACAGAGGAGGCACGGGGAGGAGAACAGCAAACAAAAGAAGAGAAAGAGGAGGAGGAAGAGGATTTACTCTTCAGCCTGGATGGAATCAGACGGTGCCACATAATTGCTGGGAATGTATCCACTCTCCCCTGTCGTCAGCGAGCGAGCCAGCCACCAGTCACCCTCCCTAAGACAGCAGAAACACACACACATGCATAATACACCTGCAATTTGACTCACATATTTGGTGCATATCTGGTGACACATTCATGATTTTCTTACCCGCCCAAAACACACACCCTGAGATTACATCTGTGGTATTATTCCTGCTTTATCATCCCTGAAACGAGGTATTAGAATACAGACGAAGCTCTTCTAAAGACATTAACTACCAGCGCCAAATTATACATAAATGAAATGTCCATTCAAAGCGATAGTTCACCCAAAAATAAACATTGTCATCATATTTTACCCTCAAGTAGTTCCAAACCCCTATGAATTACTCAACAACAAAAAAAAAAATCTTATTTTATTCTCAGTAAGTCATACAGGGTTTTCAACAACTCTAAAATTACATTATAACTGTCTTTACTGTAATTTTTTTAATCATTTTAATCCATTCTTGCTGAATAATTGTATTAATTTTCTTACACATCAGTTTTCTGAAGCCATATAATAGCTTTGAGACATGACAGACATTTACATTATTATTCACATCTACACATAATGCACAAGTTGTATGAACTACAGTTATGGTTTTTTTTGTGTGTCTTTTTGGGGAATATTTTGGCACAATATGCTTTCATTATGCGTAAATGAGCAGCGCAAACATTCATGAAATCATCTCCTTTTGATTCCTCTAAAGAAAGAAAATCATATGGGATTGGAATGACTGACTTTTTTCACTTTTGGGTGAATTATTTACAACAAAACTGGTAGATTTATCAAAAAAATGAGTCATACGTCTGGGTTGTCTTGGATTCTTGATGGGTTTTTAATAATAGATGGTGTGTTTTAGTGTGAGCAGTAGGGTGTTAGACTGTGACTCACTCCCTAAGCTAAAGTAATAAGACTTTATCCATCGCCAAGACATGCTGACCCGACACAAAAACCTCTCCAGGTCTCTGAGCTACTGCTTGCTGTCGTTAAACATAATTAAAACATAACCGCACCAGTGAAAACAATGACATGTATACACAGATGGGCACATATTCATATTCATACATGCAAATATATTATTCATATCGTACCATTCAAAATTCAGAAATTCACAAAAGAGCATAAAACTGTGATTCTGATAAGCAGGGTTTATGAGAAGATTAAACTGGACGAGGCTACTGTACGTTTGAGACAATAATTTAAGTAGAAAACGCTGATGGCTAATGCTAAGGCTGCATCCCAATTCTTAAAGTCCGGTCACAATACAATAGTGTAGAAATACAAACAAATTTTGAAATCTCCGTGCAGAAATCTTTCGCTTTTTGCGTGGCTTCCTATTAAAATGACCAATAAAATCATTTATGGAGTGAGAATTAGAACTAGCAAGTTAGTCAAACATAGCCAACAGCCTTTAGTTTAGATTTTTACTTTTAATTTATCTAAATGCTACTGCTATCTTAACATTATTGTTTTTAATGATATTCATTTAAATGACCACGTGAAATAAAAAATTTACAATTTTAGTGCATTTTAGTCCAAGTCTGTTAGCTTTGAGGCCATTGCTAGCGTACTCTCAAAATAGCATATATGCACACACACACACAAAAAAACTTTTAGCACACATGCGAATTAAGTCTTTCAATTCACAGGGCCACTTACAAATGATCGTCCAAAAAAATCATCCATGGAATGAGAATTATTAAGTTAGTCAAACTAAAGGCTATTGGCTATGTTCATTTAACTAAATGCTACTGCTATCTTAACATTATTGTTTTTAATGATATTAATTTAATGACCACATGAAATCAAACTGTGACAAAGTCTGTGACCTTTGAGGCCATTTATATGTTAGCGTACTCTGTTAGCATAGCATATATGTACTAAAAAAACTTTTAAAACACATATGCATTTAGTCACACTATGAACATTTAGTCTTTTAATTTGTGGGCCGCATACAGATTTCTGTCCAATAAAATGATCTCTGGAATGAGAATCAAAACTAACAAGTTAGCTAAACTGAAAACGTAGCCATTAGTCTATATTTTTACTGTTAATTTAGCTAAATGCTAATGCTATCTTAACATTATTGCTTTTAGGTTTATTCATTTAATGTTCCCATGAAATCAAAATCTGAATTTAGTGGGTTTTAGTGCAAGTCTGTTCCACTTTATATTTAGTTTATATTTTACTATTTTAAAAAAAGGGTCATGTAGATGTTCCCGTGACAACTTCCTGTTTAAACAGGAAATACGTCAACACAGGATAGAAAATTGTATATTTGACATATTATTTTCATCGGTCAAGGATGAATTTACCTAATCTAGCAATGCAGATAACATGAAAATTGGCATGCAGCCTAAACAAATGTAAAGGAAAAATCAACAATACACTAAAAGGACCAACCACAAAGTCAATGTGAAGGACAAATGTAAAATGGTTGAGTGAGCCAGTTATGAGGAGATGTGACACTATTTATGGACCACTTCCACAATCTCTAGAAAGTCAGGACAAATCTCAGGTGGACAAGCAAATGGTGAAATGACACACATACACAAACACACGCACGGACATTGAAAGTTGAAAGCAAGAGCAACTTTACCAACCTGGGGTTCAACTTTCTCCTACATAAACGATTGAGAGCGTGTAGAGGAAAAACACAGAGGAGACGTGAAGTGTTTGGACATTAAAAGCAAACAGCAGAAGCTACAAACATCCCACATAGCCTCAAAAATTGATTGAAGGTCAAATCGCAGCAATGACGCACTGAAAACAAAGCTTTTATCCAACTTGTCAGTGAAGTACTAAAAATATGGAAAACAATTACTGTAATGTGCATTTGATTATCTCAAAATGTGTACTGACACATGACTCTGAAGGTCCCAGCATAAGCCGGAGCAGCTTAGAGATTTGGTTAAAAAGCTTAGATTACTCTATTACCAGTGGCTTCTGGGCTGGGTAATGGCCAGCGGTGGGGATTGGTTACGGTTTAAAGGGTGAATCTCACCTCGTGCCTCTGTTCAAACTCCCCATAATTGGTCTTAAAGGGATAGTTCACTTTGAAATTAATTTTTGGTATGTTTTAGCTTACCTCAAGGGCATCCAAGATGTAGGTGTCTTTGTTTCCGCAGTAGTTTCAATTTTGATATTTTTAGGTCAAACCGTTCTTATCTGTCAGTAATATAATGCAGGTCTATGGTCACCACCTCAAAGAGCATGCACAGAGAAGTCCAAATTAAACATGATTTAATGACTCGTAAATGTAAGTACACATTGATGGCCTAAGACACGAAACGAGCGGTTTGTGTGAGAAAACGAACAGTATTTATATCGTTTTTACCTCTTGTAAACACAGCCACGTCCAAGTGATCTGATTCTGAGGGCGCCGGCGCTTCAGTCTTTTCCGGAAAGCGCCGGAAGTGATCTCTCGCGCGTGTACGTCACTCATTGTTTACACAGAACAGACATTGTAGGACGACTAATTAAAATGGTACTAATTTGTGCTTATCCGGGATGTTTAAACCGTCGTAAAAGAAAACAATTAAAAATAAATAAAAAATAAAACAATTGTATGAGTGACGTACACGCGCGAGAGATCACTTCCGGCGCTTGCCGGAACAGACCGAAGCGCCCGCGCCCTCAGATCACTTGGACGTGGCTGTGTTTACAAGAGGTAAAAACGATATAAATACTGTTCGTTTTCTCACACAAACCGCTCGTTTCGTGTCTTAGGCCATCAATGTGTACTTACATTTACGAGTCATTAAATCATGTTTAATTTGGACTTCTCTGTGCATGCTCTTTGAGGTGGTGACCATAGACCTGCATTATATTACTGACAGATAAGAACGGTTTGACCTAAAAATATCAAAATTGAAACTATTGCGGAAACAAAGACACCTACATCTTGGATGCCCTTGAGGTAAGCTAAAACATACCAAAAATGTATTTCAAAGTGAACTATCCCTTTAACTATAACACTATTTTGGTAAACTGTTGTAGGGTGTGTTCACACATTTGTAGTTCGGTTCTCTTGGAAAGAAAATAATACATTTAGTCCTGGTTTGCTTAGCGTTCACACTGTCATTTTTAACACTGAACTTAAAAAAACAAAAAACAACCTTTTTTAGGGTCTTGTGACATCATGTCCTGTTTTTGGTTAGTTTAGTTGTCTTTGGTCCATGTTGCATTCATATTTCAGTCGAAACGCACACAGAGTTCGTTTGGAAGTGGACCGAGACCCATCTTTTCGGTCTGTTTGGTGCGCATCAGGGTTCGGATGGCAGCGTTCACACTTATTCAAATGAACCGCAATAACAGAGCAATCGCTCCAGAGTTCATTTTAATCGAACCAAACCTGCCAAGTGTGAACACACCCTTAATGTTTAAAAAACGTTTTTTTTTTTTTATTACAAACGACTGTAAAGACTACATGATGCTGATTTAAGTTTCACAAACCTTAAGAACACATAAAATGTATCATCGAGTCTGATATGACTGAGAGTGATTACCCCAGTGAATCATATGCTAATTTGCATTAGATTAATTCAGTGAATGATTTATCAGAAAGATTCAAACGATTCAAATCTTATGCAATTTATAAAAACATTGGTCATTCTTTCATTTTAATTTCATAAAATATATATCATGTATATGTGTATGTATATATTACCATTCAAATCCCATTACTCAACGATTTCATTCAAAGTTGATTAAATAACAGGCAGTACAACTTGTTTTCCTTATAAAGATGACAATTTGGGAAGGGAAATTGCTTAATTGTCATGAAAATAACATCTCAATGTAAACATACCTAATATTACTAGATACATGTTTAATTTTCTTTTAGCAAAATATATATAAAAAATGTCTCTTTTATTGATTCAGGGTTTAAATATGACCCGGACAAGGTCTGTTTTGAAGGATTCACCCATATACTACACTGTGTTCGGCCTGACATAAAAAGAAAATCACCAGGTCCGCTTTGTGCAGAAACCAGAGGATGTTACTGAGAGTGTTTTTTTTTCCTTTTTTCTTCTCTTAACGGTAGCGCTGTACACTGAAATAAGGAAGTGAACCACAGGTGTAGCAAGGAAGGAAAATGCTCCCTTTGGTCCGGGAGGGGAAGTGGAGGTAAAGACGTGCAGCTGAGCTTTTCTTGTGCACAGGAAGACCAAAAAAGGAATCCAGAGAACAAAAAGCCATCATCTCCCACAAATACAGCGCCTTCAGAGGGAGCCAGTTCCTATGGTTACCGAAGAGGAAGAGGAGGGGGGGCTACATGTGCTGGGGGGGTTCAGCAGCCAGAACAGCCAGAGCCCAGACAGATGAGAGACATGTGCGTGTGTGTGTGTGTGTGTGTGTGGATGTCTGCCTCAGTGGGTGTGTCTATCGCCCCCGGGAGCCCTATTATTTTTTGCGTGAGTATGTTTGTGCGTTTCCCTCTTACGTGTTATTGACAATCTGGAGTCGTTCTCCTTTCCTGAATGACAAATCGGAGGCGGTTCGTGACTCGTAGTCATACAAAGCCACAAACGTGGTCACACCGCCTATGGAAAAATACAAGAGACAAACATAGACTGTTATCTTGATGCATTCAATTAAAAAAAAAAACTTCAGCAGGGAAATTTCATTAACATAAGTAAATAATGCAATGCTGGGTTGCTAATGGAAATGGGCATCCAAAAATAGTCGAGACTTGCAGAGTCAGACTTGTGACTATCAGCATAAAGGCTGTGGTGACTAAGGATGCATTTAAGTGACCTAAATCCAATTTTTTCCTTCCATGTGGCACAAATCGGATATGACCCACGAATGTGTAAGCAGTGAAAAAGCACATGGATTCCCGTATTCTCGGATAGGTTTCAGGTCTCATGCATATGTGGAAATAAATCTGACATTAATCATGCATTGTGCATTTCGGATATGCCAGTCGTACGTCTGAAAAAGCGATGGTGGAGAATGATGCCAACCATGATCACATGACTCTTTTCAATGGAGGACAAAGGCTCAACCCAATGTTTTGCAGATCTCTAAAGATGGTGCGGAAAGCAAAAGCTTGTATTATCATTTCATCTGCGTCCATTGCAATTACTATTGTACAGAAAATTCGGAATAATTTAAATTAATACTGTGGAAATCCACCAATAAGTAAACTGCAGGAAATCCATTCAAGTAGTTTTCCGCAGAAAACAAAACCTGTGCATCTTGACTCTAAGAGACTCGCCAGCCAATCAGAGCGGAGCTTGGGAGTTAGGAAAATCCCTTGTTATATTTGTTTGAGTACGCATCTGTCCATTAACGGTCTGATGTGGCCTTACAGGAAAACTGTCACTGACATTAATGAGATTTTAACTCCGTTAACTCATTAAAAATTGATTGCGCCAGCTATATCTGTATACATGATGAGCCTGATTTACATTGACAATAGGCGTGATGAAAAGCACTGTTGTGAATAAGATGCATGTTTTTCCTGCACCAAAGTAGTGCAACTGTTTAGTCAATTCACCCTCAGACTTCTTTGCCCATTTCCTTTAACACTTTAATACTGAAAGTCACCAAAAGCAGAACCGTAATAATGACACATTGAATCCCTGATCAGACAGAGGTGTGTTACCCGCTAACATGCCGCCTCTGTTAGGAGATGTGATGGTAGTGGAGATCACTCCTCCAAACAGCGCCTGCTCTGCGTTGATCATGGGCTGGGTGCCGCGTCTGCTACCGTCCACCGGAGGACTTCGGTTGGGGGTGAAGGATGACGGGTTGGGACTAGAGTGGTGTCCTCCGGTGCCATCGTCCAGACTCCGGGAGCGCTGGCTGATCTCTTTGGGTTTACTCTTGGCTCCGCCCATGGCCTAGGCCTGAAAAGACACAGATCTTTCAGATCATGATTTTACCCCAAACACCTTGCTATACACTCAATTCCAGAGTAATTTAAATTAGTTTATAAAAAATTCAAAATAGAAATTAAATTGTATGATATATATATATATATATATATATATATATATATATATATATATATATTACACACTGTGTGTATATATATATATATATATATATTTATATAAATTAAAACCAGAACAGGACAAGGGCAAAACAGGAAATAAGTACATAAAACATAAAATACAAATATATAGATATAAGCCTAAATATATAAATGTAAGTCCAAATATAGTTATAAGACAGAATGTATAACTGTAGGTCTGAATTTATAAATAAAAGTTTGAAAATATATATTCAGAAGCATGTATATATACAAATTTGAATATATAAATGTATGTAAATCCAAATATATAGTTATAATTACATATTTGGATTTACATTTATATGGTCATGATTTACACAAACACATATATATTTTTTTCTATACATTTTAGTCTTGTATCTATATATTCAGACTTATAAGCCTGAATATATATCAATTTAAAACCGAAAATATAGTTATGACTATATATTCAGATTTACAGTTATACTGTATATTCAGAGTTATAAGTCAAAAAATATTGATAAATCCTGATTATATACATTCATATAATGTCTGCTTAGGGGCTGAATATTAGCACAGGATAGGTACTGCGCACAATTTTACTGGGGAAACCAGGGGATATACTGTACCCACCTACTCAATAAAAAATTTCAGGTTCATGAATCTTTTTTTTTCCAGTATCTGAACCTAGCTACCAGTCTAGATTTTTAACCACCAGCCCACACTGCCTATAACAGGCTATTACATTCATGAATTGCAGGGTTTCATGTTGGACTTTTGACATAAGCTTTTTTCTATATATATATATATTAAAAAAATATGTTGTTAAAAAAAATAAATTTCATCTAATTTGTAACATTAAAACACTTCAAACGAATATTTGACCCCCTCTTTTTCCAGTGCTGTCGCTAGAGACCAGCCTGTTTTCATGATTTATGTATGAACCATGAATTATTAACCAACTATGCATGCAAGCAAAATTCTGTTATTTCTTAAGTAACACAAATAAACAGTGATACTGGTGCGCAAAAATATCTTTATCTAGAGAGATATTCAGTGTTAAACCATAATCTCATTACTGAACTCTTCAACTATATATTGAAATTCAGGTCATTTTTACATTTTCTTAAAAAAATGTGTTTGCTGAGCATGCAAAACTCACTGCCATGATGCTAAGGTGTTCTGGATAGTTTCAAAATGTGTTTTTAGAAGAAATAAGAATGGGTGGGCCTTGATTTTTTTCCATCATAAATTGGTGATTGGACCTTGAAAATGGAGATGTTTCAGCGATTAGATTTTGATTAAATATTACGAAGACTAATTGTTAATCCAATAACATGATGGGTCCCTGATGGGTCTCAATAACACCAGGAATGTATATTAAAAAAGAGCTGCAAAATGCACTTCTTGCCATTAGGGGCAGCACTAACCAAAAGTCAGAGATTCCTAAAAGCGAGTAAAAAAAAATGAAAGAATGCCTGGCATGTGAATGTCATTTTATCAAAGTCATTTTTGATCAAAGTGAAACATTACAGAAAGCGAGTGGCCGCAGTTTTAAGCGCCCCACAGAAGCCTGAGGTTGTGTTTAGTGCACTTTAACCTCAGTTTAGCCGATACAGGAGCGCTCAGCTGTTTCCTCTCACATACCAGTGACAGCCGCTGCAATACGATCCTCCTGGACCCCCCAACACACACACACACATTCTTCCACATGTCATACTGTCTGTCTGCCAGCACAGACACACATTCTTTGAGGGACAGACTGAGACGATTTCCCATCCACCCACACAAACCTCACTCAGCACACACTTCTTTCCAGTCCTTAGCTCTCTGTAAACGCTCCTCACCAATGCAGAACAAGCCCCCGCTTGCCCACGGGATGAGAAATTCTCCACAACCAAAGTCGCTTTTCCTAGAAAGCCCGGAGGACTGGCAGCTCATGGCGAAGGGTCTCTTAGAGGAGCTGTTACAGGCCCGGTGGAGGGGAACTAATCTCAACAGAGCAGTGTGAATGAGGGGTCAGGGAGCGGCCGAGGGCCCTGGAGCCCCGCAGGAGCCGTCGCAGAGGAGCTTTCACTAGAGATCTGCGCTCTTCAGGTTCACTGGCAGTGCCATGAACCGTACAGTCACAAGACCGGAGTTATGAGGAGAGTGTGCAGATATGCGCTCTATACCATTAAAGACCTGCACTGACCTTGAAACTATAGGAAATTCCTGTTATTTTTCATGACAGAAGGCCTGTCCACATCAGTTCTAATGCAGCTTAAATGACATAAAATATAGTATACAGTATTCACAAACAAATTCTCACGCAAACCTGCAGCTTTTTCTTCACTCCTTGAAAAAAAAAAAAGCATCGGAATGAATTGTTCAGCATCAAATCAGAGCAAAAAGAAAAACAGATTACAGACTGAAATTACAAAACAAAAGAAAAGCAAAACAACATGACAAAAGAACAAAAGAAAAAGACTAAAACAACAGCCGAAACAAGAACAAAACTAAGAAACTAAATAAAAACAAAAACAAAACTTAAGACAAAAAACATCAAACAAATTGAAAACGAAACAAAAAATATATAAGAAAAAAACAAAACCTAAGACAAAAAACATCAAACAAAATGAAAACAAAACAACAAAAGAAAACACAAAACAACAAAATAAAAAAGAAACTAAAAGAAAAAAAGGGAAAAACAACCTAACCCCCCCCCCCCCAACAGATAAAAAGAAAAGCAACAAAAATAAAGAGAGAAAACAATAAAAAAGAGTCTGTCACAAGGTCAGACAGGCTTAATGAATATTCATAGAGATTTCATTCAATTTCATTTGTTCTTGTCAAGAATAAACCGGCATAAATGCGGCATATCTGATAGTTTGGCTTTACAAAAATCCTCTTTTATAAACCAATTAGGCCCTATTCCTGCCAAAAACGCAATCTGTGTTAGAAAACGGCTGTAATGAATGATTGTTTTGAGTTCCTGTGAAAAGTTGTTGAAGAAAACTGAATTAGAGAGAAACAACAGCTTATTAGTATGTAGGCTATGTCCTCAACCATATGGGCTCCAGATTACATAAATGTTTCATTTATGGGTGCTACTGTCCCTGTGTTTTCCATTCAGTGTCCAGGGAAAACTAGCATCCAGCAACAACAAGGATGTCTTGTTAATGTCCAATTAATGGAGCTCTAACTGTAAGTAGCAGGATGAATTTACTGACACGTTTGATAACACTAAACCACGATGAGATGAATCAGGGTGAACTCTGGGTAAACAGAGCAGCTCATGCCTCACTAATGTCCAGCCACAATAAAAACTGTCATTAAAAGCAAAGGCCCAGTCATTACAAATAAAGGCAAATCTAAATTTCCCACGCGAGGTGTGAATGTTTGGCTCTGGTTAATGCGGTCTCCATGCCCAAGGCCACAGCCGTGTCCGGGAACGACCTCATTGAGGTTCGGAATGTGACGAATGATCATCGGAAGAAGGATTCTGGCATTATGTAAAGCATCATTGATCTATGGCAAACAACAACTGGGAACAGGACGTTCATTCACTGACTTCATGCGGTGTTGTGTCAATGGCTTATGAGGTCTAGCTGATGGATAAAGTCATAGGAACAAATGCAGAATTGAAAGGGCTATTTGAACAATAAAACCCCACAACAACAAAACTGATTCTGCATTAAAAATGACAAAAAGGTTTCAAATTTTGTACGTTTTCTGAAAACCGATTAGTGCAAAGGCATTGCTTTAAAAGGTGTTCTAGGGGGTTACTTTCTAGTCCAAGAGGGGGAAAGCCAAACTATAAATGCTTAGAAAAGTAATAAGGCATCAATATTATTCATAAACACAGCAATATTGGTAATGTTTGCCATAGCCATATCACCCAGACTGGTTGCCCAGTCCAAGCTAAGCAGGATGGGAGACCTGGGAACACTAGGTCGCTGTTGGAAGGGGTGTTAGTGAGGCCAGCAGGGGGACTGTGTGGGTCCTAACGCCCCAGTATAGAGATATGGACACTATGCTGTAACAAACACCGTCCTTCGGATGAGACGTTAAACCGAAGGCAATATATAAAAGTGTAAGGCAATCCCTTCATAAAAATGACCCCCAGCAGTTTCACTGTCAACAAACAACAGGGAGTTGAAACAGTCAGTAATACCATAAAAATACAATTACAATCAATAGGACAAATACAATAGAAAAAAGATACAAATTATATAAACAATTTAGCCTACTAATAATAATTGCCTACTATACAGAAATTGAATAACGTAATCAAATGTACAAGTAAAACTCTGTATAGTCTTCACTGTATAAATGATATATATAAGTTACTGAAGTTATTCAGTGAAGAGCATTGAATGATTCTCTCGTTTTCTTTTGTTGTTTGACTAACATTAATGACACGGACAGCAGCAGGTTTATTAGGCTGCTGTCACTTTAAGACCAAATATACTTACAATCATTTGATTACTTTCCCAATTCTATATGTTCACTTAAAGCAGCACTAAGTAGGAATTCCGTCTTTGTCAAACAGCGACCCCTAGAGTCGCTGTGGAGCACTTGTACTGTCTTGAATAGCACTCACGCAGAGATGGCTCGCACTCACGGCCGGATCCCCTCCCCCTGTACACCGGTACCTGTTCAGTAGGATGGACGCTGTAACGAGTGGAAATAAGGTGAGGCCCCTTTAAGAGCTGCGCACGCCCTGTTTAACTGTCGGCAGTCTGTATTGTATGTGCGCCTCGAACACCACATGTATACGGCGCCGGGTTATTTCTGTTTGATGCTCATTTTATCCGAATTTTATCAGATCTGTTTTTTGCCATAAAGCAATTCGTTACCTCGCGAGACCTGATATCACACGATACTTCC